TGCCTATATGAACTTGTCATTTTATTTTCTATTCAAGTACTGCTGACATTTAGAATGGGTATGCCTAGAACAAAAAAAGCATGTGGAAGAAGTATGTTATACTGTGCATATTATACATTATGATAGGGTTTATTGTGAATATCTGTAAGTATGGATACTTTCAATCCTTATTGCTCCTAAACAAAAAATATTATATCTCTGAAACTTTTATATGTTTAAGTGAACATGTCAGAGATTATATTTCATGAAAAATGTTGTCAAGGTCACGTGATCCACAAGGTCAATTTCAAGGTCAAATATTAGGTCAAGAGGTCAAAGTACCCCAACATGTACAAATTTTCAAAATGGCGGCAGATTTGGAATCCTTATTGAATACCCTTTCCAACAACACAAATTTTGTGAAGATTGACCCATCACGTCCCGAAATACAAGGGTTCAAAGGTAGGCCCGCCACCCCCATTTTTGAAAAAATCTCAAAATTTGGTGGGCCGTATCTCCCAAACCCCTTATCCGATTGACCTAAAATTTTGGATTTGGTGCTGTGAGATCACACTCAACAAGTACACTAAGTTTCATCAAAATCAAAAATGGTCGGGTTAAAACCATTGGGTGATTTGACATGGAATGACCCTTCAATAGAAACCTTAGTGTGTTCTTTTTCTCAATAGACAAGAATTGAATTAGAAAATACAATCTATTCAATTGTTTTGTTGAGAATGTTATTATGAATACAACTATGTAATTTGAGGAATTTGTATATGTCACGTGCGATAGCTCGCTTGTATTAGCTCACTAATCTAGAATAGGCTACTTAACCACTCTGAATAATACTACCAAAGGATTCCAGAAATATTGGTTGAATGAAACATTTAATGTAACTCAAATCAAGGAGGATATTACAAATATCCTTGCTCAAATAGAACACATCATATTATTGTCGTTTACAAAATAATAATTATCTGTAAATAGGATACTGGCATTCAATGAAGCTTAAATAAATGTTTGTCTTCTCTGAGTTCATTTAACGTTGATACTTCGATGAAACTATATGGGACGACTGCAACGACGAACGTGTGTTGACCAGTAGCGACGGCGAGTGATTGCCTTGAACAGTGGAAAGCTAGAGATGCGCCCCGTTGATCTGGTTGAAGATAACCCTTGAATGACCTTGAAACACCCGACTCAGTCCTAGCCGAGGTTGCCCGAGTATACGTAGTCCGAGGTTGACTATACGTATGGCCGAGGTTGACCCGTAGGCTGATCGCCATCTAAATTAATAAAAGACCGGAATCTTAATAGCATAGGTCCTAAAATTAACACAAAAATGCACAATACCACTTGTATTACATCGGTTTCCAACATTAGCAAAAGTGTCCATATTTTAAAGGACTCAGCCACACACAAAATACATATCGTTCGGATATAAAACAGCTTCATATCTATATCCTCTTTAAATGTCCATATTTGAAAGGACTCAGCCAAACAAAATCATTCGGTAATAAAACAACTTCACATTATCCTCTCTAAATGACCATAACAATGACTGTTTAAGCATATAAAAATGACCTAGGTTTACATGCAATGATGTATAAAAATGTACTTACAATTCAGCATTGAGAAGAGGGAAGAACAGTCTCATCATGCACTGGGTTGCATGGCACCACACCACGCCGGTTTCTTTCCTTGGAAATACCCCCCAAAACTGTAACACAGACCTCTCTCTTCAAGATCAATTATCCAAGTGAGCAGTCTGCATGTGCATTTTTACTAGCACACACAAATGAAAATGTGTCATACAAAGAGTCTGCAATTCTATACACCTGACAGAACCTAGATATTGTGTACACTTGAATACACTTAGCTATTCATCTAGTGAAGTGGAAATCTACATTAAGCACCTGTTCATAACTGGTCTCACAAAAGAACATCTAATTTGCATATGATCCTTGTATAACTTACATGGGCTCACAAAGAACATCTAATTTGCATATGATCCTTGTATAACTTACATGGGCTCACAAAGAACATCTAATTTGCATATGATCCTTGTATAACTTACATGGGCTCACAAAGAACATCTAATTTGCATATGATCCTTGTATAACTTACATGGGCTCACAAAGAACTACCTAATTTGAATAAGATCCTCACAGTATAAAATGTAAGAATACAGACAGAAATTAGTAAATATAACATATGCATGTATAGACGTGATGCTTAAATATATTGACAAACAATGCAGGTCCAGACTGTCAAGCTTGTTGATCTCCATTGTCCCACACTAGCCTCAATACATCTCCTAGCAGAAGCACTATGTTCTATGCCAAACCTGACTGACCTGACACTTGGAGGGGGTATCTTTGGGGAATTCTACTCTGCATTGAAAGCAAAGGCATCGTTCATACAGGTATGTGTGTCCTAATGTAAATGTCATGGAGGTTCGTTGATCGACAGAAACAGCAGTAATAGTTATATGGTTCACATGTATAAACCAGTTTATATATTTTTTTTTCTCCAATCACCCTTTGGAACAGTTATAAAACATGGAATAAAGCAAACTACACATGTACGGATTCAGTTGAAATTCAAATGTTTGAAAGATTGACATTGTTTTGATCAATAATCAATATCTAACCTTTCACAAGTTTAATTGATAGTAACAAAATAAGTCATTTTTTTTAAAGAACCAATTTTAATAAATGCTAGAATTTACCTCACTGAACCATAGCATAAAACCTTCTGACTTAAGGGTATTGTGCACATGAAATCCAGAGTTATGAATACCTTTAATACATTAATAGCAAATGCATATTTCTGGTTTTATAAGTGTCAGTGTTAGTAGGATAAGGACTTATCAATGAAAACAGATTGGAAGCCTCATAGAGCGGTGAAGTGTGATGTCATCAAAAAACTGTTTTGAGAATTTCTCAATTTTAACTTCGTTTTCCAAAAGAGGACAAAAAATAATGTACAACTGTTGAAAATCACTTGAATAGGTTAAGTATTGGCTGAGATATGACCATCTGAATAAATAGATTTCCTATGGCACTCAGTGTAACTGGTAGTTTGCTCCGGCTCATAACATTACGAGCCAGAGCAATAACACTGATTCCTATAGGAAATCTATTTAGATGGTCATATCTCATCCAATACTTAACATATTCAATTGGATTTCGACATTTGGACATTTTTCTTGATGCTCTTTCTCAAAATGAAGTAAATATTGAGAAATTCTAAAAATAGATTTGTATGATGTCACAGCTTTGGTACTCTATAAAGAATACATAAAGAATTTTTTTTTTAAATCACTCTTTCTAAATCATCCTCTCCATAGAAACTTTAGCGTTTAGTCTGCAATCTATACACCTGACAGAACCTAGATATTGTGTACACTTGAATACACTTAGCTATTCATCTAGTGAAGTGGAAATCTACATTAAGCACCTGTTCATAAGTGGGCTCACAAAAGAACATCTAATTTGCATATGATCCTCGCATAACTTACATGGGCTCACAAAGAACTACCTAATTTGAATAAGATCCTCACAGTATAAAATGTAAGAATTATACAGACAGATATGCATGTATAGACGTGATGCTTAAATATATTGACAAACAATGCAGGTCCAGACTGTCAAGCTTGTTGATCTCCATTGTCCCACACTAGCCTCAATACATCTCCTAGCAGAAGCACTATGTTCTATGCCAAACCTGACTGACCTGACACTTGGAGGGGGTATCTTTGGGGAATTCTACTCTGCATTGAAAGCAAAGGCATCGTTCATACAGGTATGTGTGTCCTAATGTAAATGTCATGGAGGTTCGTTGATCGACAGAAACAGCAGTAATAGTTATATGGTTCACATGTATAAACCAGTTTATATATTTTTTTTTCTCCAATCACCCTTTGGAACAGTTATAAAACATGGAATAAAGCAAACTACACATGTACGGATTCAGTTGAAATTCAAATGTTTGAAAGATTGACATTGTTTTGATCAATAATCAATATCTAACCTTTCACAAGTTTAATTGATAGTAACAAAATAAGTCATTTTTTTTAAAGAACCAATTTTAATAAATGCTAGAATTTACCTCACTGAACCATAGCATAAAACCTTCTGACTTAAGGGTATTGTGCACATGAAATCCAGAGTTATGAATACCTTTAATACATTAATAGCAAATGCATATTTCTGGTTTTATAAGTGTCAGTGTTAGTAGGATAAGGACTTATCAATGAAAACAGATTGGAAGCCTCATAGAGCGGTGAAGTGTGATGTCATCAAAAAACTGTTTTGAGAATTTCTCAATTTTAACTTCGTTTTCCAAAAGAGGACAAAAAATAATGTACAACTGTTGAAAATCACTTGAATAGGTTAAGTATTGGCTGAGATATGACCATCTGAATAAATAGATTTCCTATGGCACTCAGTGTAACTGGTAGTTTGCTCCGGCTCATAACATTACGAGCCAGAGCAATAACACTGATTCCTATAGGAAATCTATTTAGATGGTCATATCTCATCCAATACTTAACATATTCAATTGGATTTCGACATTTGGACATTTTTCTTGATGCTCTTTCTCAAAATGAAGTAAATATTGAGAAATTCTAAAAATAGATTTGTATGATGTCACAGCTTTGGTACTCTATAAAGAATACATAAAGAATTTTTTTTTTAAATCACTCTTTCTAAATCATCCTCTCCATAGAAACTTTAGCGTTTAGTCTGCAATCTATACACCTGACAGAACCTAGATATTGTGTACACTTGAATACACTTAGCTATTCATCTAGTGAAGTGGAAATCTACATTAAGCACCTGTTCATAAGTGGGCTCACAAAAGAACATCTAATTTGCATATGATCCTCGCATAACTTACATGGGCTCACAAAGAACTACCTAATTTGAATAAGATCCTCACAGTATAAAATGTAAGAATTATACATACAGATATGCATGTATAGACGTGATGCTTAAATATATTGACAAACAATGCAGGTCCAGACTGTCAAGCTTGATGGTCTCCTGTTTCCCACACCAGCCTCATTACATCTCCTAGTAGAAGCACTGTGTTCTATGCCCAACCTGACTGACCTGACACTTGGTATGCATCTCAATGAGGAGTTCTACTCTGCATTGAAAGCAAAGGCATCATCCATACAGGTATGTGTGTCCTAATGTACATGTCATGGAGGGTCATTGCAAGAAAGAAACGGCAGTAATAGTTGTAAAGTGCACATGTATATATGTTTTTTTCTCCAAACACCCTTTTTAAAAGGCCATTCACTTGGTATATTGGAACAATGAATTAAAGCAAACTACACATGTACTGATTCAGTTGAAATTTAAATGTGTGAAAGCATTGTTTACCCATCCATGAAAGAACCTGCATTCATTCAGCAGATGTATTCGATTTATTGTATTATTACTAACGCTCCTTCTCCCCCTTTTCTTTTCTTCTCTGCAAGTCACCCTTTTTTATTTTTATTTTTATTTTTATTGTAATGCCTCCGTTACGAAGTAGCCGGAGGCATTATGTTTTCGGGTTGTCCGTCTGTCCGTTCGTCCCACTCTCGTTATCGCGTTATCTCAAGAACCGTCTGATGGATTCCTACCAAACTTTGGTCATGTATGTAACTTGCAGAGCCAATGAATTGATTAGATTTTGGGGTTACGAGGTCAAAGGTCAAAGGTCACAGGACTCATTATATATGCAAAAAAAGCTTGTGATCGCGTTATCTCAAGAACTGATTGATGGATTCCTGCCCTACTTAGGTCATGTATGTATCTTGCAGAACCAATTAATTGATTATAGTTTGGGGTCACAAGGTTAAAGGTCAAAGGTCACGGCTCAATATGTATGCAAAAATAGCTTGTGATCACATTATCATAAGAACAGATGGACAGATTACCATGAAAGTCAGGACATGTATGTATCTTGCTGAGGCAATGAACTGATTAGATTTTGGGGTCATGAGGTCAAGGTCACCGTCCAAGGTCATGGGGCTCATTATGTATGCAAAAATAGCTTTTGATCGCGTTATCATTAGAACCGATGGATGTATTACGATCAAAATCAGACATGTGTGTCTTGAGTTCTACTTGAGTTCTACTGAAAGCAAAGACATCATCCATGCAGGTATACATATGGGCTGTTGTGGGCTGCTATTCAAGAACAATATAGTAGGGATATACTAATGTCTTAGAAAGCATTTTTCCACCTCATTTTCACCTTCTGTAAGTTGCCCTTTTCTGTTATTTCCCCCTTCTCCTCCACACCTGTTTTAGATAATTGTTAAAAAAAGCAACTTTCAATTGATATTTCTACATTGTGCTAAAGTATGATTTAAGTTTATTGAACTGAAAAAGTTCTTCCGTGGGAACCCCTCCACATACCACCACCCCCTGTTCCCTTGAGGAAAGCCCCGTCATCCCTAGTCACCATCCCTTAATTGACCTGGGGCAACATGTAATTGTCATGGGAGTAGTTGTGTTGGGGGAGTTATTGTCTAGGGGGTAATTGTCCCGAGGCTCATTGTCCTTGCATTACTGTTTAGAAGTAGTTATTTTCGCGAGGATTCACTATTGTGAATTCCACAAATCACTGTTTGCAAGTTTAACAACATGCAAAATATTTCCAGCAAGTAATTTGGCGTGCCAAATTCACTAAAATAAGCCCAATCGCATGTCATATATGGCAGATATGCGATATAGCATGAGCCGCCACAACAGGGGTGGCGGAGCATCTTCCAAAGTGGGAGGGGGGAACAAAAAAAAGGCACTCTCTGGGGAAATCTCAAAGCAAAACTATTCTATTTTCAGACATTGGTATATACTCCTATATTGTGATTATTAAAATTATCAGGGATGATTTCAATATGGTGTGATGGTCTGAATATTCATTTGAAATTTTGACATTTGTGAGGTCGCAGTGCGAAAAATTACATCTTGTAAAGAGGAAAAAACAATCCTGATGGGGTTATAAGAACAATCTCATCATGAAAGACTGGAAAGACCTGTGATAAGAAACATACGGTGCCCTTAGTTGCTTTAAATTACGGGCACATTTTATGGTGAAAGGCAAAGGGGACACTTATCAAAAGGGATAAAGACATTTATTAGAAAAGGAAAGGAGCACGTCTCAAAGTAAAAGGGTCATTATCAGAGATGAAAATGTGGCACTTCTCGCACCTGAAAAGTGGCACTCACCAGAGATCGAAAAAGGCACTTATGAGAATATAAAATGGGCACTTATTTATATTATATAGGAAAAGGGGCATTTGTTGAAAGAAAAGGGGCATCTATCAGATTTCAATAAGGGCAATTATGAGAGGTGAAGTGGGCTCTTATGAGAATGGTAAATGGACACTTATTGCAAAGAAAAAAGGGAACTTGTCGAAAGAAAAAGGGCAGGTGTCAAAATAAAAGGGGCACTTATCTGAGATGAATAGGGCACTTATTAAAAGGTGGAAGTGGCACTTCTTACAAAAAAAAAAAAAGACACTTTTCCTATGTAAAAACTGGCATTTTGGGGATACCCCCCTCCCCGCCACATTCATTCATCCCGAAGGGTCTCGTGTTAGATGATGATTGTGATTTATCTACTGCGCAACATTTTTCTTACTCTACCTTTTTCTAATTTTCCATACTTTATTTTAGCGCTTGAGTGTATATTCCCAAGAAAATAGATTATATGCAAGAATGAAATAGATCCACTTACTTGAAACTGATACAAAGTTTATACACAATGTTGGTATTATATGTTACAGGGTTGTTTTCCTCAGATCAGGAAGGGAAACTTCAGGTTGAATGGAGTTACTCAAGATGACTTGAACTCATTTCTTCACACCCTCTCAAGGTCAGTAAAGTATACCGGTATGTGATTTAAAAAAATATAAAGAACTCAGATAACAGCATTTAGACTTTTCATGAATAGTGCGATATAGAAAACAGCCTATAATGGAATACTAAAAAAAGCTAGAAATAATGCTGATACCCCTGCTGGGAGCATGCAATTTATATTGTTTACCTTAAAAAAGATGAAGATTTCTTCAACTAAATATTCAGTAACAGCTTTATTGAACAAACTCCTTACTGTAAAGAGGAATCAATCCACTTAATATTTTTTTTTTTTTGGGGGGGGGGGGGGACTGTAGTCTCTTCTATTTCTTTTTTCTTCTTTGTTCATTGATCAAATTGTTTCTTGAGACTAGTACTTTCAAGAAGACCAATTGTAGTTAATTTCCTATTTCTCATCATGCAAACAGATAGTAAGATCTGTTTCCTTTATAGCTCAGCCGACTTGTGCAACTCAAACGTTACTCAATTTCCCATTATTTCTTACAAACCTTTTTCCAGGTCATATCGCCAACTATCAGGAGGCAGTTACCATGGCAACACATACAACACAAGAAATGTCTCATCAGAGCAATCAAGAGCGATGTACCAAGAAACAAGGGCAAGCACTAGTCGTGTGAACCCAGTACATACCAACACCAGTGTTTCCCTTGACACCCTTCCAAGGGGGTTAGGTGCCAATATTCCAGTCTTGCAAGAGTCTCAGGACAATGCCCTTGTGAGGCAAGCTTTACAACAGCCAGGTACATTGAGGAATCAGACTGGTATTTGTCCAGTCTATTTAGAGAATAATGCACCACCGTGGAATCCTCGGCCTAGTCAGCCCCAATTTATGCCTTCGGATCTCCAATCAGGCATGTCTGCTGGATACCACACCCCTACTCAATACCAGCCATGCAGTGGTTATAATTGCAGTCCTGAGTATAGAGAGTTTAACTACAATCCTACCTACCATGCCACTATGTCCAGTTCTGCTACATCTCCTAACCCTCCAGTCTCAAGACATGATCAACCTACCATGTCGGCAGGGTACCTTTCACCAACACAATATCCACCACCGGTTCCTGAGAGTACAGGTGCAAGACATTCCACCAACTTTTCATCCTCAATCCATAGTACAAGCAGGACTGGTAGAGACCACCCTCAACAACAACCCATGAGTGATGTACACTATCCAAGAAGGGCATTACCACCATCAGACCACCCTCAACAGCAACCCATGGGTGATGTACACTCTCTAAGAAGGACATCACCACCATCATACCACCCTCAACAACAACCCAAGGGTGATGTACACTCGCTACGAAGGGCATTACCACCATCAGACCACCCTCAACAACAATCCATGGGTGATGTATACTCTCAAAGAAGGACATTGCCATCATCAGACCACCCTCAACAACAATCCATGGGTGATGTATACTATCCAAGAAGGACATTACCACCATCAGACCACCCTCAACAGCAACCCATGGGTGATGTACACTATCCAAGAAGGACATTACCACCATCAGACCACCCTCAACAGCGACCCATCAGTGATGTACACTATTCGAAAAGGACGTTACCACCATCAAACCACCGTCAACAAAAATCCATGGGTGATGTACACCATCCAAGAAGGACATTACCACCATCAGACCACCGTCAACAACAACCCAAGGGTGATGTACACTCGCTAAGAAGGGCATTACCACCATCAGACCACCCTCAACAACAATCCATGGGTGATGTATACTCTCAAAGAAGGACATTGCCATCATCAGACCACCCTCAACAACAATCCATGGGTGATGTATACTATCCAAGAAGGACATTACCACCATCAGACCACTCTCAACAGCAACCAATGGGTGATGTATACTCTCAAAGAAGGACATTGCCACCATCAGACCACCCTCAACAGCAACCTGTGGGTCATGTTAACCACCTAAGGAGATCATTATCACCATCAGACCACCCTCAACAGCAATCCATGGGTGATGTACACTATCCAAGAAGGACATTACCACCATCAGACCACCCTCAACAGCAACCCATGGGTGATGTATATCCAAGAAGGACATTACCACCATCAGACCACCCTCAACAGCGACCCATCAGTGATGTACACTATTCGAAAAGGACGTTACCACCATCAAACCACCGTCAACAAAAATCCATGGGTGATGTACACCATCCAAGAAGGACATTACCACCATCAGACCACCGTCAACAACAACCCATGGGTGATGTACACTATGCAAAAAGAACATTACCACCATCAGACCACTGTCAACAGCAACCCATCAGTGATGTACACTATTCAAAAAGGACATTACCACCATTAGACCACCCTCAACAGCATGTTGGTAATACATCAGATACTGTATTTCAATTCTCTCAGACACACAGAGAGTGTAGCAGTAGCTTGAGCAGGCCTTACAAGAGGCAAGCTACTCAATCTCGGTCAAGAGTTCCACAGGATGATCCTGAAATCCCAGAGAAACGATCAAAGTATGAAGTCTAGTTGCTATGGTATTGGTAGAGTAAGACAGTGGTAACACTTCATCTTGACTTTGTGTATGTATGATACAGGGCTCCACACTAAATTTGTTTGGAAAATACACATGTACGTTCAAATTTAACTTTTTCCACTCTGTATGCATTAGCCTTTTGTAAAGACATCCAAATTCTGGGGGTCCGGACCTAGATTTTGGGCGTCCATGTGTCACGGATAGTCTGTTAGCTTCAAGTCCTGGGACCCATTTCATGAAGCCTTTTTTCAATGACAAAAATCAGTGACAAATCTGCTGATAACCAATCAGAAGCAAGAACTTCACTAGCTCATAACAAAAACTGTCATTTGTCACTGATTACAAGTTTTGTGAAATGGGACCCTGGTGTTAGAATAACCATTTGAAGAGAAAGGGATCGTAATATTGTCACAATGTTTTGTGAATGTGTACTTAATAGCCCAAAACAGAGTTGCATCAAGAGCCCAATGTGTACCGGTACATGTTTTATGCTGAAAGGGGTCATGTTGTGTGGAAAATGTTTTCTGAAAATACTCTAAATAGGGGGTCAATTTTTACTCAGCAAAGAATTATGCCTGTCAATAGAAGGTGATACTGCCAGCAACCAGTTGATATAATGATAATAACGGTCACCGTGGCTTCTGATATAGTGATGCTGTCAAGCCATGACGCACCTTGCGCTCAAACAGTATTACCCTGGTCCTAGGCGGCCTCTAAATATGTCCCACTTTGGCATATCGGGTGCCGATGTACACCTGGGTGGAGAGTGGCAAATGTTGAATAATGCCTTGTCAAGGATGTTAGTGCATTAGACAATTATGTAGTCCATGTACCAAGTATATGTGTATTATTCAGTAGACTTGCAGTTGCACCATGTGAGAGAGGGAGGGGGAGGGGGAGGATTGGGCAGACCTGGAAAGGTGTATCGTGTATTGTAGACTTTTACCACTTTGTTCATTCATTCAGATTAATTTTATTGGTCCATTTTGAAATTCAGTTGTTGCCATTACATAAAGCATATGAACAATATACAATAGAAGGTGATTTGCATGCAATGTATGAAATACCACTCAACTTTCACAAAGTGAGTTATGAGTTAAAGTATGTAATTGTTCAAATTATCTTATCGAAATGTCACTGTATTTGTCAATGTCATTACCCATGTTCAATACAAAATATAATGAAGTAGAATCTAAATCAATTTGTGAATTTGTTACCAGAAATACCCAGATGTTAATACCCACATTGCTCCAGACATCTTGTCTATGAACTTGATAGAACTCAACATGATAGTTGAGAACTGGCTTTGTCTGGTAAGGGTGTATGAATAAAGGCCCGAGTTATCAGTGAAACATTTTGTCTGACGTGGATTATTGTTTGTAATTAACTACATCCAGTTCTAGATTTTAAAATCCATCTGAGGAAATATTTTCCTGGATTTTTCTTTACATCATTCCAGTGTAGATCACTATGAACATGACGGACAAAGAAAGCGGACAAAATATACAGTTTCTCAGGTAGACAAAGGAACATCCCTTCACTGCTATTATGTAAAAATGTGTAGAACAGGTGTCACATGCATATTCACCTGTTCTACACATTTTTAGATAATAGCAGTGAAGGGATGTTCCTTTGTCTACCTGAGGAACTGTATATTTTGTCCGCTTTCTTTGTCCGTCATATTCATAGTGGATGCTGCTACAAGTTTAAGATACATGTCTCTTTTGTCAATGTAACATCCCTGAATTATCAGTGTGATATTTAATTTGAAATGGATTATTGTTTGTACATGTTTAACTACATCCACCAGTACTATATTAAATCCATTTGAGGAAATATTTTCCTGGATTTTTTGGATATCATTTCAATGTATATATGCTGCTACAAGTTTAAGATACATGTCTGTTTTGTCAACGTAACATGCCCGAGTTATCAGTGTTATATGTAATTAAAAATGGATTATTGTTTGTACATGTTTAACTATATCCACCAGTACTATATTAAATCCATTTGAGTAAATATTTTCCTGGATTTTCTTTACATCATTCCAGTGTATATGCAAATATGCTGCTACAAGTTTAAGATGAATGTCTGTTTTGTCAATGTAACATGCCCGAGTTATCAGTGTGATATTTAATTAAAAATGGATTATTGTTTGTACATGTTTAACTATATCCACCAGTACTATATTAAATCCATTTGAGGAAATATTTTCCTGGATTTTCTTTACATCATTCCAGTGTACATATAAATATGCTGCTATAATTGTACGATACATGTTTATTCTATTTGTATTCTGTACTGGATTTCAATAATTTTGATGATACATATTCCAGATTATGATTATGCAATGCTATGATACATGTATATTTTGAACTTGTATATCTTTACCATACTTGCCTTGTAAATACGTTTTATATTTTAGTAAGTTTGCATTCCTGATTGGCTTATAAGATACAAACGTAGACACTATACTCTCATGAGCATTCCATTACCTTGCCTTTTTATCACCATCCTCTTCTGATCAAGTGATGTCATTTTCATAATCCACTCTGATTTTCGTAATAGACAATGCAAATCGCTCAGATCTGTGAGTTTATTCTGAATTATGTCATGCAAAAGGATGTACAATACAGGTCTTTCTATGTAACTTGAATGATTATGAATTTCAAAAATAAATTTTGCGGTGCCTTAGATATTTAAACATTATGATGTACAAATGAAACAAAAGAATTTACTAGCTAGTGTAGTTTGATGATGGTGTATTTGTATCTTATAGCTGAAATGGTGTCACATGACACACAACACACAACATTCTGTTATATTTGCATGACTCTGCAATATAGCAACCTTATTTTGCATGTCATAACACATGCAAAAGTGATCTCTACTAGTTCTCTACGCAAAAGTATTGCATGCATTTTGTTATTCAGTGTAACATTTATTCACCTCTAAATTCAGAATTCCCCTTGTACCATTATATTTCATCTTCAGCCTATGGCCTCGGTAAAATTTAACATTACTTAGGAAATTCTTAATTTTTTGGGTTCATGTATTCAAGTGCTAATGCTAATTCTGAAGTGTGGGAAACTGATGTAAAGCAAATGTAAAATACGACTGTATGCATGAACATAAAAGCATATATTCATCTTATTGAAATGCTCATTACATCTGGTTAGGGTATATTTTTAATCTTTTTCATTCAATCTATATATACACCCTTATAATATATATAACTTTAACCTTGATAAGACTCAAATTTGAGTGGGAAGTTTGAATAAATCTGAAAATCAAATGAAATATGATTTATCTTACTTGTGATTATTTGGAAAATAGGAGCAGCGAAGTATGGATGAAAGATGAAAGAGAAAATGAGATACAAATTAGGTGTGAACATAAAGGAGATACATTTTATAGGACTAACCCCTTATGAATTTTGGAATTTTTGTAGATTTTACCAAAGTGACTGCCATTATTTTTTGTATTTTTCAGTCTCTCTCTCTCTGTCTCTCTCTCTCTCTCTCTCACACACACACACACTTTACTTGTTGTTTCTGCTTTTTATTCTATTTTTTTGTGGTCAATGTAGTATTTGTTATTTCCATTCCAGTCATCAGAAAATTATGTGAAAGTTGAGAAGTAATCAATTAAAAGATAGAAGAATCAAGAGCAAGGGGTATCCCTGTTCATCAATAAAGAGAGAGGGATATAGAAAGAAAGAGAAAGATGGAAAGATACAGATAGAAAAAGGGATAGAGAGAGGAAAAAAGAGATAAATACAGAGAGGGAGAGAGATGTGAAAAAAAGGATAAGGTGATTTAAATTGAGCCCATTCAACTCTTTTCAATAAAAGTATTTTTGTGAATTATTCTTAATTACTGTAAAACACTCATTTCCTTTACCTCCCCTCTCACATCCGAACTTTCTTTTCTTTTTTCACCATTCAATATCTCTCATCTTTCATTCAGTACACGATATACAAGTTAGACACGACAATTATCAAAATTACAACAATATTGTTATTCCATACAACCCATACATTCAATTAAGCTTTGTGTTGAAGGCACGTAGATTATGTTTCAAAAATAAATAAATGTATGTCCTTTATTATATGATCATATTATCTGCCTATCTTAGCATAAGACAATGAAACTTTTCACATAACATGCACCAATGCCGAAATGTTGAACAGTGCAACCCATGTCAAAAAATTCTTAGACATGCACTGCTTTCGAAATTAAATTGCTAATCGGTGCTTAATTATTCGTAATTATTACAACATTTATAAATAAACAATTGGCTACTAGCTGAGAAGCTAATTGGTTCAGCTGTTTCAAACAGTAGAGCAGTTTCTTAAAGACAAGTTTATAGAATAATGGCCCGCCTAAGTGCCCCCGCTCTGGGTCCAGAGGGCGGAGCCCCGGGCGCTCTCGAGTTTTTAGCAATTCAGAAATTGCTAGATAGCTGTTTTGAGCGAATACAAACATTTGCACTGCCTTGATGGACTTCCTTGGACATCTCTCTCTCTCTCTCTCTCTCTCTCTCTCTCCCTCTCTCTCTCTCTTTCTCTCTCTCTCTCTCTCTCTCTCTCTCTCTTTCACGCACGTCCAGTCTGCACACAACACGAACACGCACACTCGAATGACAATTTTATTAAGCGAAGGGTTGTCTTGGGAACCACTTCTATCATTGTGGGATGCAGGGGCCATGGAATCTCAAAAGATAGAAATTGTCATTTTCTCCTTGAAATTCACACATCCGCTATCATTCCCTTTAAGAATTCATCTCTCTTTCTCTCTAAAGACAATTTCATAGTGTTTTTTCCTACAATTCTACTTTCGTCCATCCAGGTTTCACGTTGCCGACCCGTTAGTCACAGTGTAGCGTTTTTTTAAATAATAAATAAATTTAATTCATCTCTCTCTCTCTCTCTCTTTCTTTCATTTTCATCTCTTCTTCTCTTCCTTCTTTTCCCGCCTTTTGTTCCGTCGCTCTCTCTCTCTCTCTCTCTCTCTCTCTCTCTCTCTCTCTCTTTCTCTCTCTTTCTCCCTCACACCAAGCTCTTTCTCAAGTTCATGCTACCTACCTACCCGCCCCTTTGAGGTGCCCCCCCCCCATTCCCAGGATCGGTTGAACTTTTTTAGACCCCTTTTTTTTTTTACCTCGATCGATTACATGTATGTGCCCCCCCCCCCCCCCCCCAACATCAAACTCTGGCTACGTGCCTGATTATTAGACCATGTCGATATTAGTAGGCGGGCTGGGTGTAGACCAAAACGGCAACTCACCTTCACAGTAATATATACTGGTTTAATTGGCATCCTCGCCACAGGCACAGGGGTTATTCAGCAGTAGCGGTTCTAGAGGGGGCGGTTAAATTAAGCAACCCAATTTTTTTCGAGGCACATGTCGAACCCCCAAACTCTTGGCCCCCCCCCCAAAAAAAAAAAAAAAAAAAATACCCCCAACATATATATTATATATACTGTCGCTCATATAGTTGGAATATATTTTTTTTAAACCCCAATTTATGGAATTATTTTGACAATGATTTATCCCTAATAGATCTAGATAATATTATACATTCTCAAATTTTATTGAACAAAAATTTGCCAGTGTTTGTTTTGCGTGACTGTTAAAGCATGTGTATGCTACTATGCTTATCAACAAGGGGACCTACGCCCTTAAGTCATAAATTACAGTATAAGAGGATGCCCAACTAGGGCACTAATATGGCACATCGACACGGTTTTGATCCTGGGGCCTCACAGTTACGAGGCCATTGCTTTGCCACTGAATCATGACTCAGTACGCAGCGGGTGCTAGGGTAGGGGGCTGATCCCACAAATTAAAAAAACACAAGGAAAATGCAATCATTTTTCAATAATTCATTGAATTTCCCGGTCCCCAACAGAAAAAAAAATCTTCTGTGTGCGAGAATTCTCAACTCTGACATGACAACGGGTGCTCCAAAATATGTAGGAGTGAAGAAAATGGACTAGGAACGTGAGACGTAGCTGTACTTTACAATATATCCTTCAAGAAATTAACCACTCCTACATTTGTTCATCAGAGATCTGAGTAGGATATCCGTTTTGATAAAATGTCGGGTAGTGCGCACTAATTTTTTTTTTTTTTTGGACCGGGGGAGGGGGGGGGGGTTGAGCACGTTCCTGTTTGTCAGTACATTTTTGGCGAATTTAGGGCTGATTTCAACATATTTTTTTGGCCGGGGGCACGTGCCCCCTGTGCCCCCCCCCCCCCTGGATCCGCCACTGGCAGGCCAAGAATATCACAGGCATTTTCTTTGTTTTGATTCATCATTATAGTTCGACCATTTGTAACATTCAGCACAGTTTTTGTTCCCTTTGTCTTGGATTCAATCCCTACTACTATTCTTATGCTAATAATGTTTTATCAGTTTGGGGGATGAGAATAAGAACCAGGATTTTTCCCCTTCTAAATAATAACTTCAAACAATTTTTCTACTGTAAGTTTTCCACATCAAAAGTCATTATACCTGGGGCAGTTTTGCAAAAGAGGGGATAATCTTGATAGCAAGGGTTACTCCACACTTATGTTACTATAGATCCCCATTGGCCATTGCGAATAACAATTGACGCTGTTTATGATGACAAATGAAAAAAGTGAAAAAACAAACTTCAGATGCCATCTATTTTGTCGTCAAATATATCTCGAACCCTTTCATTATTTAGTTTTCATTTTTATAATATATAGCTATGGCCTAATTTTGCTTTTTGTATTTATGTTACAATGTACTTGACTTACAATTCAAATCAAATCTAACTTAAGATATTTTTGTACAGCTGTTTATAATATTATTTTGCTTTTTGTATTTATGTTACAATGAACTTGATCAACAAATCAAATCAAATTTTAAGATATTTTTGTACAGCTGTGGGCAGCTATTTAATTTTTTTTAATGCAATGCAAGTGGAGCGCCATCTACGATTGTTCAAGAACAGCAGTACATCGGTGACGCTCAATCAAATAATTTGCTAGGTAAGTTAAATATTTTATTTTTAAACCTTAAAAATGCTAATGTAATGGCAATGTAAATGGTTTGTGAGGATGGGAGTAATTTATTCGTCACAGAGATCATGTGCTATCAATGTCAATGTGTGCGTGTTATTAAAAGCAACCATGGTGAGATGAGAGTGAAACCCCTAGATCAATAATTGTCCTCGATTATTGTATCTGTCGTGGCACTGCCGTGGCCTGGTCCTTGCCCAGGCCGCCCCCGGGCCCCGGCGTGGTCGAAAGGGTGCGTGCCTACGTGTATTCATGGCTGTATTAACCTAGACCGAAAGCTTCAGTCTCTATAATCGTCGGTTGTTCCACTGAGACTACGTCTGGCTCCACTAGACCTCCGGTTATAGAGACTGAACGACTGCCTATGCCAGCCTGTGTTGAACTTATTCCGCTAGATTTTAGCCGCTAGGCCCCTCCCACAAACTTGCCACGGCCGTATTGTTATGCCCCCAAAATCCCCCAAAATGTCATTTTACCTCGTTCATTTCCAATTTTAAATTAGGCCTAGGCTATAATACATCGGTTCCACTTACTAACTTTATTGATATAATCCGTTTAATGGTCCCTTTTAAGGAAATTATGGGTCAAAATCGACATCCATGTTGAAAATCTTGCAAGCCGTGTTAAACTCTCGCTGCCGTCAATCTCATCCCTTCTAGTCTACGCCGAAGGCAAAATGATTATGAAGGAAAAACTGCGCCATCTACACGTTCGTAATGGCGTTATCACAGTTTTTCCTTCATAATCATTTTGCCTTCGGCGTAGACTAGAAGGGATGAGATTTTAACACGGCTTGCAAGATTTTCAACATGGATGTCGATTTTGACCCATAATTTCCTAAAAGGGACCATTAAACGGATTATATCAATAAAATTAGTAAGTGGAACCGATGTATTATAGCCTAGGCCTAATTTAAAATTGGAAATGAACGAGGTAAAATGACATTTTGGGGGATTTTGGGGGCATAACAATACGGCCGTGGCAAGTTTGTGGGAGGGGCCTAGCGGCTAAAATCTAGCGGAATAAGTTCAACACAGGCTGGCATAGGCGATCGTTCTGTCTCTATAACCGGAGGTCTAGTGGAGCCAGACGTAGTCTCAGTGGAACAACCGACGATTATAGAGACTGAAGCTTTCGGTCTAGTATTAACCATACTCGCCTCAGTAGATATAACACGCCCACCTATTAGCTAAGGCTCAGCCAAGGCCAAGCATTAAGTTTTTTTTTGATATGATGGCATTTTGCTGCCAAAAAAATGTTTTTTTTAATTTGGATTCTAATTTATTAAATTTGGGCATTATTGTGAAGAAGGAAGTTAAATGGGTGGGTCATCGTCAGTTTCCATTTGCAGCTGCAGAAGGCCATAATTCGCTGACACCAGACTTTGTGTAATATTACCATGTTTAATAGGAGTACAGGTCTGCACACAGCAATGAGCGAACCCAGAGTCTAATCAAGAAATACCTCCTAGTCTCTCGAAGAGTCTTCAGGTGAGGGTAAAGCAAAGCATTATATAAGGTCTAACTGAAGGCTAATCATGGTGATTGACAACACCTGTTATTGGGTAACGGTGTCGAATTAGAACCTAATCCTGCAGGATCAGTACCATTGAATTTCTCTCTGAACACTGGCTGGAGGTACACGCTCAAAGAACCTGGTGAACTTGGTGAAGGAAGCTCTGATGGACGAAGAAGTCCTTTGTGCCATAAAGAGCACCATCCAGATTTGACCAGTTAATTGATCGCATAGACAAACAAGATATAATATAATATAATATAATATAATATAAAACAAGCTATAATGCTATCTTTGACCTACAAAACAAAGTAAAGAAGCTTGAACTTATGAAACTTAAAATGAAACATCAGAACCTAGAGGAGAAAAATAAAAAGACAGAATCAACACTCAACAACCAGGGGGGGGGGGGGGGGGGTGTTTCACAAAGATCCTAAGTTGAACTTAAGGTATCTCTACTTCTACTTTTACTTCTACGACGATACTCAGCAGGATCCATAAGTCAGGATGTATAGTGCTGAGGAATACACTATCTAGTTCTTGGTCTAGATGCTGGGTGGAAGCGCTCCCTTGAAGCCCTCCAGTGAAGTAGCATCAAGGGTGATCTTTGAAAGTGCATTCCATGCAGTTATCTTCAAGTTGGACTTAACAATTATGTTTTTGTAAAATTTATTTTAAAAGGCATAAAATGTTGATACAAATTATTCATGTTTTCTATTATCAAGGAGATTTCATGTTCTGTAAAGTAGTACTGTTGCTTTCAAATAAAAGTTGGAAAGGCAGATACCGCTTTTTATAAGAACATCCTTTTTGATTGTGACAATTCCATAGTTTGTCATTGTCAATTCATATTAGCAGCTTCATCATTCATTTTCATGTATTATAGTGGTCTGTGATGGAAAGAGGATTCCGTTTGATCGATATCGCTCAGTAAATTATTACTAAATGACCAAAACATGTTCCTTTCATTTCATTACAGACTGTTGCTGAATACCTCCAAAATGTCGGGTATAGACAAAGTGCTAGCATTGATCGTGCAAAACAAAATCGCAGCCATCCGCTTCGAGCTGGTTGACATCCATGGCATCGGGCACAGCAGGCTTATCACATCGAGGCATTTTAAAGACAAAGCTGTTCATGGTTCAAGTTTCAATCTACTAGCCCTGGTCCTAGACCCCAAGGGGATCAAGTTCTCCGATAGCGGTATGTGCATCGATGATGTTGATGCTGTCACGTACCCCGTCTATGAGACATTCCAGAATCTGGTTTGGTGTCAGAGTACAGCCAGGATCCTTGTGGAACCCACCATCAAAGGAGAATACATTCCACAGTATCCAAGAAACAACGCACGGAGGCTACTCGACCGACTAGGAGAGCAAGGGGTCTCACTCTTCTCTTCCTTTGTGCATGAGTTCTATCTGGTGGATGAAAAAACCGGTGAGCCAGCAGAGAAGAGCTGCAACTATGCAGCCACCAGTAGACTTTGTAAGCTTGAGGCGTTCATTAATCTTCTGTTGGCATGTCTGCCAAGAGTTGGGGTGGATGTGGAGAGCATAGAGACATTGGATGCTCCTGGCCAACTCAGAGTCACCTACAAGTCGGCCTTTGGTGTTGGTTCGGCAGACAACGCCTACACTTTCAAGTCAACAGTGAAGGAATTGGCCACCAGGAATGGCTTTGTGGCAACCTTCATGACAAAGCCCTGGCCAGAACACAGAGGCAGTACCACCTACTTGTGCCACTCTCTTTGGAGTCTGCAAGAACATAAATGCATCGTCTTTGACTCAACGTCAGAAAATAGTCTATCAAGCACGTGCCAGAAGTGGATCGCTGGAATCCTATCCCATGCCCAGGCTATCACGGCTCTCATGGCACCAACGGTCAACTGCTACAGTCGCTTTGAGACATCACCAACATCGCACGCCCCGAGCAATTGTTCCTGGGGGATCGGCAACCGCACGTGTGCTATTCGTGTGAAAGTCGATGGTTCCAAGCGAACCATTATCGAGAATCGCATACCTTCGAGTGGGAGCAACCCTTACGTGGTACTGGCAGCAACGGTTGCCGCCGGTCTTGATGGGCTGCTTACTGACATGCCTCTCAAAGCGGCTACAGAAGGAAGTGCCTACGATCAAGGGTATGACTTGCCAGAGCTTCCTCTCTCTCTGGAGCAAGCTATGGAGGTCTTAGAGACAGACGAAGTGATCCTGGATGCACTGGGTAAAGACTTTATCAAATACTTCCTTGCTGCAAAGAGACACGAATGCAGTGAGGCACTTAGGGCAAGGAAAGTTGCAGGTGTAGATGGTGAATCGTGGGAACACAATATGTATTTCGACACAATCTAAAGATTCCATGCACATGAACATCATGTTAGTACCAAAATTCATTTATACCCAAGATCATGTCGTGCCAATTTACAAAAATTGAATATTGATGAAGTATTCATACAGGATAGATAAATTAGATATACATGTAGTTTTACACTAGCTCTTCAGACACTATTTAGTCCATAATGGCAATTTCTTATACTATGAACTACATTTTCATTGCGGTTATTGTTTTATTATGTTTTAGTTTGTCTTAAATTGCCTTTTTTCTGCACTATTGTATCATTTTGTACATGTACCCTGTAGGTAGATTGAACAGCAAAATTTTACTTTTTATATGGTTCAAAACCGTTCAATCATTTGTGAAAAAGGGAAATGTGTCTTGTAATGTTTATAAATTATAATTTGTAAATGTTCTCTGTCTTATCCCTTGTGGTCTAAGCATTAAAGGAAATACATGTACACAGTTTTGATGAAGGTTATTGATATAGTTATACATGTCACCTATTTTTATCAGAAAACTAGACATTTAGGAAATCTATTTTTAACCTCTATCATTTACAAATACTGTACACTACATTCAAAACTTTGTAGAGATGCTAAAGTCATCTTCTAACGTCTCACTAACCTTTTGAAATGCCTAGCCATGCTTTATATTTTGTTTTTATTAAAGATAGATTTTGATTATGTGCTATTCAAGAGTAGAGTATGAACTATAGACATTCTGATTATTAATAATTATATATTTTTAATGTGTATTGAATTTCAATGGAACATGGTGCTGAGAAACAGTGCAATGTTTATAAATCTAAGCTTACTGTTATTTGTTTTGTAAGAAAATTATTCTAGAAATTCTATGACAGAGAAAATTATCCGCTTTATTTATTAAGAAATAGACATTTTGTGCTTTAATATAAGTATCTAACATCAGAATGTAATGCCTAAAGTTAAACAATATATGTGTAATATATTAAACCACCAGTTGCCTGTTCTCATTTCTCTTTGTACATTCAGGTTTTACCATCATATTTACTTCTTTTTTAATCATATTAATGAAATTCAAATTTCATGTGTGAATCAAGACAAACTGAAATTGTACCATTTTTGTAAGATTAAGATCTGAAAAAGCTGGAAAATAAGGGAGCTAAAATTGTAGTGCATTGTTCTAATATTACAGATTGCCATAGAATTCAAAAGCATTTATAAGGCCATTAAAGATTGTTGCTGCTTCTGTATTTAATAGTAATCATGAAATTAGGTTCTAACCGAATTTGCCGCAAGTGTTCGTTTGTTGAATGAAGCTATTCTTCTCTCTCTAGCACATTAGCTCAATGGATTTAAGTACTAAGTGTTAGCACACAAGTATGCATGCACACTATTAGATTATGAAACCAAAACCATAAACGGAAATCCATTATACAAAGTGAATAATTATTCACTGAGTGACAGTGACAGATTTAATGTGTACTTTGAGAATCGTGAAGCACTTCCTTACTGTGTAGCACTCACAATTATATATTACTAACTCTATTATCAATTTCCATACATTACTGCGTTTTCCTTCCATTCTGTGTTGTTTATCGTTTGAATTTATCAGGAATTTTACTCAAAATTCTTTATTGCAACCAAATGTTTCTTATCTCAAGTTAAAAAATGTGAGAATTTACTTGCTAATCAACAATGACAGTTGTGATGATATTTTTATTAGTAGCAAGAGAGATAGAGTGTGTGTGAGAGAGAGAGAGAGAGTGAGAGAGAGAGAGAGAGAAAACAAAAAAGAATGAATCAGAGTGGAAGAGAAAGGGGTAGAAATTAAAATAGAAAGAAATAGAGGGGAAGAAAATACGAGACGAGATAGAGGTAGAGAGTTAGAATGGGAGAGGAAGAAACAAGAGATAGGGGAAGAAAGAGAGGGAAGAAACAGTGTTTAGGCTTATTCACATATTAATTCACAAATCATGCAATAATTAAACCACATTTTCTCTTGGTAATGTTTAGACAAATGGCAAGAAACGTGGGTGCATGGAGGGGTAGAGGGAGAAACAAAGTAAGAGTGGAGAGTAGAGGGGTAGGGAAAAAAAAGCAGAATGAAGAAGATAAATACATGGAGATTAGGCAGAGAGAAAGAGAAAAAAGAGAGAGAAAAAAAAATTGAGGGGGGGGGGGGGGAAGGTGGGATGGCTGGCTTGGCATGAAGCTGAAGTGAGCTAACTAGCAAAAACTGTAATATCACACATCTATCCTCGACCTATTTCAAGAAGTTAAAAGCCCTTCATCTTGCCTGAGAGCGAGAAGACACAATATTGAGGACATTTATACATATTTAAAAAATAATAACATAAACAACAACGACAAAAATTATAATCCACAGCCACGTCTTGAGAAAGGCTAGTACACACATGCTGGATTTTAAAGATGGCGGCCTCCAAGAGTGAAATTAATGGGGCTACATTTCGCGGTATGGGTCTGGATGATCGTGTCTTGAAGGTAAATTCATAGTGTTTAATGTTGAATATTTATAGATTCTAAAGTTTTTTTATCGAAAATGGTCACAGAAAACTGTAGTTGATAAGGAAAATTTACTCCACGTTCTTCAGTTCAGTCCCATTCATTCAGTTTTATGTTGCCTGTTTGCGTCTCTGCCTGCAGACTGAAAGCTGAAGCCGAATTTAGCTTAGATCTAGTGCCATTATGCCATAAATCATAAATGTCATAAACATATCACAGATAAATATGACTGAGGACAGAGGTAGAAATTTCAGAGAAAATAATATGCGCTCTGGACATGCTGGAGGCTCTTTGACTTTATTAAATAAAGAGAAAACAAAAATATAATTTTTACTAATTTTAGTCGTATGTACTACTACTACGTATCATCATGATCATATTCGAGAAAGAGTAAGAAAATATGATTGACATAGCCAGGGGGAAGTGAAGGGGGGGGGGCCTCTTTCTCAATATGTCCGACTGAAATGATAGATTTTTTTTTTCTTAATTTAAAACGAGCCTGTAATGAATATGAGCGACCCTCCCCCTTCCCCTCGTCCAGACCATTCCATTTAATTACATTTTTCAAATTGGCAACTATTATCTTCCGTCTCAGATCCTCATTATGGTCGATAACTTCACGCAGGCGCGCACACCCGCGCAAAACCCACCATCAGTATGCACTTGTTTTGGGCAGTTGCTTGCAGTGAAACCTGTGAGAAAGTTTATATTATTATGTCTTTGTTTTAGGAAAAATACTCCCCCAAAAATAAGAAAATTGACACGAAACAGGTTAGAAAGATAACAACTTTAAAATCAAGACCATTATTTGAACAATTGTTGAAAATTCAATTGATTTTTTGGTATGTTATACTAGTAGGGTATCTCAATGCCGGAGTCATGGGTCCAAAGTATGTCACAGTTATGAACTAGCGCTAAAATTTCTAGGTGAAAGTGTCACATGTACAAATATGGAAATGCCAGAAGTATAAATATCACATTCACAGGTAAAAGAGTCGCAGGTAAAAAAAATTAGAGGTAAACCATGCCGGAGATAAAGATGTCAGAGGTGAAAACTACAGAGTTAGAAATGTCAGAGGAAGAAAGACGACTATATTTCTTCACCTGGCAATATATAGCTCTGTGCCTATATACATGTAGCCTACATGTATATACATGTAGGCACAGATGAGACTAAAATATTATATTTCCTAAAGTGTTGTTTTGATTTGTCATGTCAAATTCCCCTTTTGACTGTTTACTTTCATTCTTTTTTTACATATTTTCTTCCTTTTGATTGACACAAAAAACAAATGTCAAGTGAAGAGAAGGGAAACGATGGCTGAAAGAACTTGTATTATTTGTTTGGGTGTTGTTTCTTTTGTCCTTTAAAAAAGATTTAAGTCAGTTAGCTCTTTTAACGAGAAGGTTGAGTTCTGGGGAGAGGTGAAAATAATTTGTGAGCATTATCATTTTTGCTGTGCAAGTGTGGAAGAACGTCAGAGAAAAAACCTTGCAGTACATACCAATACTATATGCTACATGATCAACTTTTAAGAATCTATTCCACACCTTTTCTTTCACAATGCAATCGCAGAACTCAACTTTATCTTAAAATGAGAGACTGAAAATGGGATGTACATGAGTGCACAGAAAGTTCGCATATTTTTGACACATTTTTGTTTTAGTTGCATTACTTTTATCTCTACTAAGTCCATGATTGATCAAATGAATCTCATGATATTGTAGAGGTATGTGATATTCAAGTGACACATGCAGGGGGTGTTAGCATGAAAACGAATGGGCATTTACAAGTCTCTTCATCTTCCATCAAGCCCAAAAGACAGGTAAGTAGAGATAAACACACAGGGGCTCGGGGTAAATTAGCCCCCGAAATTGCATAGAATTCTATTCAAAACAAAATAAAGAGTGTTATTTTCATGCAAACAAGCTTGAAAAGTAGCCCCCACAATTTTTAAAGTATTTTTTTCCCTGTACACACCGGTGAGAACTGAACACACATGCATCTCTGTCTCATTTCCTTATGTTCACCTAGGCCCTTGCGAAGCTGGGCTGGTCTAGTCCAACTCTGATCCAGGAAAAGGCGATACCACTGGCCCTGGAAGGAAAGGATATACTAGCCCGGGCTAGGACTGGATCTGGCAAGACAGCAGCCTATGCTATCCCTCTCGTCCAAAAGATCCTAACTTTAAAAGAGGTATTTTATCATTTTGATCAGGGCGCGACAAACCTGCTTGCCCGACGTCCCGGGGCAACCAAATTGAGCCGTCGGGCAAGTAAATCAAATTATCACTTGCCCGATTCGGGCAAGTGATACTTTTACAGTAATTTCCTAGTGTCCAAGAACTCTACCATTCACCCGTCAACTTCTTACCCGTCGTCAAAATCCAGAAGCAAAAAAGCGATCGTTCCGATTTCGAAAAAACTTCACAGACAGCTAGCCAGCTCAACTAGCTCAGCGCGCATGCAACAGTGACACTTCAAGCCATGAATGCCGCTCCGCCTCCACGCACGGCCGGCCGTGAGCTAGCTAGAGACGGCTAGCGCGATCGTACCAGCTGCGAGCTTATTCGCGCTCTCTCTCTCTAGCTCTGCAGGCCGCACCGACAGGCCTTTGCTATTCTCTGATTGCCGATTGGTTGAATCACGCCAAATATGACGTCATTATTCTAGGGAAATGAACACGTGCGAATCGGAATGGAATAAACAACAGGGATTTTCTAGTAAGTACAAAAAGTCAAATGTTTGATATTTATTCATAATGACTGTTAATGATTGTGAACATATTATTTAAAACTCGCTGCTCATATAAATCAGATGAATGTTTTTGTCTCGTTTTCAATTTATTACTGCGGTCTCAAGATCCGACCGAGCGAGTCATTTTGATAATAGTATCGAGACCCCCAGAATATAAGCCGTTGTTGTTTTGTTTTCATGGTTTTAGCGACGTTGTTTAGTCTAGTTTTCGCATACTTATCCGAGATTTATCGTAAAATATCTTCAATATTATTATTTAGTAAGAATTTACAAATTTTGGCATGATATTTATAGCAGTGAATGATGAAATAAAAATGTCCGTACTTTATTTAAAATAGTTGATTACCCATTATTTACATGACGTTTCTTGATGGAAGAGTTGACCCAAATTACACTGTACATGTATGTGCATTAATTTGCTATCTAAAACACTAACTTATCATTACGAGATAATAAATGCTTTAACCTCGAGTCCTTTTTCGCTTTAAAGTTTTGGGCAAGTGGAAATATTGTTTGGGCAAGTAAATTGAAAACCCACTTGCCCGACAGGGCAAGTGGTGAAAAAAATTCTTGTAGCACCCTGTTTGATGTGTTCAAACAATAATTTTGAAAGTTTAAAAAATTGCAAAATTAGATCTTGTCAATATGATGACATGGGGTAAAATGAGTTTATTGAATATGCTTTCAAACATATATAAATGTACTTAATTACATTTAATTAATTACAATAAACTATTCCCTTGTTTGTTTGATGATATAGTGGTTGGATAATAATTGTAAACATTTTTATCATAATATGTATCATTGAACTTTGTCACAAAAGTGACTTAGATAGTTATTGCACTAACTGTTGAGTTCTTTAGCTTTTATTACTTGTATTCCATATTCGTCTACACTTGCTTTTAGATATTTGTCCTTTAATATTGATTTTTTGCTTTCTATGTATAGATATTTATTTTGAAATTACCTTTAACTTGCCATTATTTTATATAGAGTTGACCCAAAATCCAATGCTGCAAATGATACCCTTTGGATTTAGTTTATAGTTTGTTTGCTCCTTGTTGTTGTGTTAAAAAAAAAAAATGCTACCTGCAAACACTTATACAGTTTCATCTATCTGTGCAGATGTATAATATTTATCCTTTACCTCTCTTCTTGTTTGTGTATGTTTTTTTAATATTTTAATAATAATTAATACGAGCACAATTTCATGCAATGGTATCCATATTTAATATGAATTCTATGCATCTTTTCTTACAGACAGCTAGAGAGCAGGCTACACGGGCTCTGATCTTAGTGCCATCCAGAGAACTCTGTTCACAGGCGTTCAAGAACATACAGGTAAAACATATACCTTTACCTGAAGAATGAGTTTCATCAATATCATCATGTATGTCTTTTTTTATAGCAGCCACAGACGGTCCACATACCTGGATTTCTCGACTCATCTTATGTTGGGTATACTACACATTAAAGGGCTTATATTTTTTTTTAATTCTAGTCGTTAATTCTGGCAAGAAATTGCAAATTTGCAAGAGGAAATGCTTTGAATTAATTCGGAACTGTTAATCATTCAGCTTTTATAGCAATCTCTTTTGATGGATATCATTGTTTTAGTGTAGAACATTCATTGTAAGTTACTTTAGACGGGGAGGATTATTTTTTCCTTTTTGTTTTAACTGGAACTCATGATTTCCTTTTAAGGATCCTTGCAAGTTATGCATTAAATTATGTAATGATTAGATTAAGTCACTATGAACATGACAGACAAAGAAAGCGGACAAAATATACAGTTCCTCAGATAGACAAAGGAACATCCCTTCACTGCTATTATGTAAAAATGTGTAGAACAGGTGAATATGCATGTAACACCTGTTCTACACAGTTTTACATAATAGCAGTGAAGGGATGTTCTTTTGTCTACCTGAGGAACTGTATATTTTGTCCGCTGTCTTTGTCTGTCATGTTCATAGTGAGTAATACATATTATTATTATTAGCACCGTGATATTATAATAAGGAAGCTTGATAAATATTGAGCCCTGGCTAGACCTCAATGATAACAGTAACAATATGACAACTTTAACAACAATTTTTGTTTATGTTGAATTTTTTTTTTTTTTGGACAGACCTCAACGATAATATCTGTGAGCCTTTGAGGTGATGTCAGTTTGTGTGTTTTTATTTTTTAATTTTTTTTCCCCTTATTGGAAGAGTGGAAGAGAGGGGGGGGGGGGGGGGAGGCACCATGGTCACCACAGATATATAGTCATTTTATATATTTATATAAGTAATGATTTCTTTTTGTCTATTCTGCTGCGACATACAAAAGAAGAAGAAGGTGTCAGTGGCAGAAGAAAGAATAGAGGCAATGTCAATACTGTTTGGGTGACATATTAAAGCAACGATTGGATTATTGTGAAAAATTGGCCAGGTCTGACCACTTCTATCACTATTGTTGTACATTGTATTGTCTATAGATATTACCGGTGAGGTGTGACCAAGCCTTTACTCTAACTAATGTTGTCTCATTGTGTTTGTTCTACAGGAAATCAGCAAATGTTGCTCTAAAGAAATCAAATGTGCTGATGTATCTGGCCAGGTGGACTTGTCAGCTCAAAGGTATCATAACATTATTTGGAAAGGTTTTGTTATTGATAAACGTAGGCCATAATTGTTACATTTAAAGGCACACTGTCCTACTTGTAGCTACTTGCTCCCTCTATATAGAAAACTTCCCAAATCGGTGCCTGTTGGTCCCCCATGATCCTCTTTTTATTATGTTAAATGAGAGCTGAGTTAATGAGATAGCCACCTGTCACAGTGACCTCGATGGCTCACTGGGTAGTCTAATCCCTTCTAGCTGAAGTAGTAAAGCCTCCCTTTAATGGAAAGGTTTTATGCAAGAAGCTCCATTCGATCAAAGTTTGAACCTGAAATGTAAAAAGATAATTCTTTGGCAAGGCATTAATGTGCATTTTCCCTAATCATGGATACAGTATGAAAATTTATTTTATTTCTAAACAAGTGTTTTGAGGATAATATGTGCAAGGAAATATCTCTTTTGGGTGCCCATGTGGATATATGGGCAACTACATGCTTGACCAGACATGATTTGTTCACGTCTGGGCATAAAGCTATAAAGCCAACATCTGAAAGATGCAATTTGGATTCAACCATTGTTATCTTGAAAGCAGATCACAGAGCCCATCAATTGTCCAACTCACATCCTGAGTGGCCATTGCTGAACAACAAGGCTATATCCAGGGAATAATACAACACCTTGTGGGCTACTCTAGCTTCCTTTGGTATGGATATAAGAATACTTAGATTTAATCATTAGAAATGTTATCATTACTTTCTTTTCACAGGCCTCTACTGATGGAAAGACCGGACATAGTTCTTGGCACTCCTAGTCGGATCCTGGCCCACATCCAGGCCAAGAACCTGTCCCTGCAGAACTCCCTGGAGATGCTGGTCATCGACGAAGCGGACCTGGTCTTCTCCTTCGGCCACGAGGCGGATATGAGGGCACTCCTCTCTCACTTCCCGAAGATCTATCAAGCCATTCTTATGTCTGCTACGCTGAGTGAAGATGTGAAGACACTCAAGAAGCTGGTGTTGCACAATCCTGTAAGTAGTGCTAGGAAGTAATCGTGGTTGAGTGGTTTAAGGTGCTTGACTGGAGATGCGAAGGTCGAGGATTCGAATCCCGACACGGCACTAATATCCTTTGGCAAGATATTAACCTACACTTGCTACTCTCCACCCAGGTGTTAAATGGGTAACAGGTAGGATGCGGCCATCATTGTTGGTCAAACAGTTTTTGAGCGTCAAGTAATGCCTGGCTGGAATGCTCCCCAGGGAGAGGAGATTGTGCACAACTTGTGTGCCGGCAAGCACTGAATCCAATGACCGGGGTAATAGTATATTTGTTAAGCGCTTAGAGACATTGTATTAAGCGCTATATAAAAACTAAATATTAATCAACTCTTTCATGTCGAAATCTATGTTTCCCCCATTCACTGACAAAAAGAAATTGAATGGCATAACACTTCCAGAAAATATGTAGCTAGTTGAAATATCCTGAAATCAGAAAGAATGAGTAAGAAACCTTCACATCTTAAGATGGTAATGTTGCCATAATGCAACAATTTTTTCGACTTTCTTTAATAAGGACAGATCTTTTGAGCAAAGATTATGAAGAATAGATAATCTAATTTAGGAGAGAGCACGAGAGAGTAAGAGGGAGAAGGGAAATGTTGTTGGGGCAGAGAGCTAATGAATTAACATCAGGATACAGAATAAATTTATATAAAAGAAAATGCTATAGAAGGGAGACAAATTGAAAGTCATAGCGTGATAAAAATTAGCCAGAAAGAAATTGTTGCTCAAAATTTCATGTTCCTTTTGCCCATTCCTGTCCTGAAAACAGATCACACTCAAACTCGCAGAATCACAGCTTCCAGAGGCAGACCGCCTAAGCCAGTACCAAGTAAGATGTATTGAAGAGGACAAATATCTACTCATCTACACACTACTGAAGCTCAAGCTGATCAGAGGCAAAACCATCATCTTTGTAAACTCAATAGACAGGTGTTACAGGTGAGGGAAATATTTATCTTTACAAAAAATTAAATTGTGTACTTTATCTGCATTTGTTTTCAAATAAGAAACTTATAGGCCCGAATTCACAATGGAGGTTTGTCGACAAACCTCCTTTGTGAATTCAGGCCATAGAATCTGATTACCGTATTTGCCGGCGTAAAGGCCACAGTATTTTTGGAAGAGAAAATATCAAAAAGTCGGGGTGCGGCCTTTGCCGCGAAAGAGTAAAAAAAAAAAAGTAAGTCAAAACCAGCACGAATTTGCACATATGGGACTACGAACGGTACAATAACTTTACCACTATGGTACAGGACATTTCCACACATCTTACCGACAATTTTATCTTGCATTGTTGACATGAAGACGAAAATAAACTTCCAAAAACAACATCTGCCGATAGATCTTGATCTAAGTTCGTGTCAATGCATTGCAAAAGTAAAAGAAAGGCCCGTTTAACGGAGCTGCCGCGAAGCATCCAGCACGCGAAGTCGCCATTTTCAATCCATTTCAATGTATACATCAGAGAAAACTGCAGGGTATGGCATCAGTGCGGGATGGCCGAGCGGTCTAAGGCGGTGACTTTAGTCACATCAAAATTTGTACGCAAGAGATCGAATCCCGTCTTCGACAATTTTTTTTTTCTTTTTTTTTTCAGGGGTGCGGCCTATGCGGCGCTGCGGCCTTATCGCCGGCAAATACGGTATATTTTATTCCATAACACAAATCCTTGACTGAAAGCCAAGCTTGTCTGAGGCATTTATTGAATAGCAACAAATGATGGGTCCATTCTGAAGCTCCATATATACAGGTGACCAAGCTCTTTAATGGTTTTTGAAGGAACGTCCATTAATGTGAAATATTGGTAAATTAATGATAATGATAATAATATTGAATATTTTTATAGGGCCCATATCCACCAGGCAAAGAGCTCAGGCCTTGCTAGGCTACCGATTCCGGTGCTCACAGCATTCAATTAATTCCTTCCTACCAGTATCCATTTAACACCTGGGTGGAGAGTGGCAAATGTAGATTAATGTCTTGCCAAAAGACATCAGTGCCATGGCGGGACTTTGAACCCTGTAATCTACGACGTATCCACTAGACCACGATACAACTAGTGGTCAGTTTCTTGAAACCGTCATAACAAAGTTTGTGGACATCCCATGGCAATGCTTGTTAATTTTATACTATACGTTGCTATGGGATGTCCAAGAACTTTGGCTTATGACAGTTCCTTAAGGTTGAAGGAATGTTTGGAATAATTCACCAAGCTAATGATTTTTAACGCCTACAAGTCCAGGCCAAAATATCTAGTCTATCCTTACATTTCTTCTTCTGTAGACTGAAGCTGTACCTAGAGCAGTTTTCTGTGCCAGTCTGTCTGCTGAACTCAGAGCTCCCGGTGAACTCTAGATGCCACATAGTAAACCAGTTCAACACCGGTCTGTATGACATCATCGTCGCATCGGAGGAGTCTAGTCTCTTTGATGGAGGCAAGAGAGACGAAGCGGAGGAGAGGAAGGAGAAGAAGGGCAAAGGCCAAAAGTAAGTTCATATTTTGCACTTCTGGTATAAAAAGTTAAAAGTGCTCAATTATTTATATTTTAATGGAGTCCTTATTTGTAAAATTCTAATAATAAAACGTATTTGAATTACAGTTTCAATTCCCTCAAATTAGAAGAATTAAAAAGCTTTACATTTTACTACACATATTGGATCCAGAAATTACTAAAGTCATAAAACGATTAACAAATTTCATGGTCGACTGATCCCTAAATAGTGCTTTTCCTTTTGAACATAAAGCTTGGGTATAACTCTGACTAGAGCATTTTGTGTTTCATGCCAAAATCAAAGTTTAATGCGTTTGTTAAAGGAATCTGAAGTAGAAAATTCTAATGTCATCATGTACAGTATTTGCTTCCATAATTATAACTCCTTTTTAAAATTAAAAAACAAACAAATAATCCCTCTTTTCATCTCTTTCAGAGTAAAGCAGAAGAAAGACAAGGAATATGGAGTATCAAGAGGGATAGATTTCCAGAATGTTTCCAACGTGATCAACTTTGATTTCCCAGAGAGTGTCAAGTCCTACATCCACAGAGTGGGAAGGTATGTAGGTCTTTATGATTGAGATGTGTACAGATCTGGGGGGTGTTTCACAAAACTTGTCATCAGTGACAAATGACAGTTTTTGTTTTAAGCTACTGAAATCCTTGCTTCTGATTGGTTATCAGCAGATTTTTCACTGATTTTTGTTGTTTGTCATTGAAAAAAGGTTTTGTTGAAACGGGTCCCTGTTTTCAAATCTTTTGGGGAAAATCAAACCCTGAAAAGTATTAGTTTCTTAATGAAGAAATAATAATAATAAGAAGAATAGTAATAATTGGATTTATATAGCGCCTTTTCCAAAGGATACAAGGCGCAGTTCTCTTAGTCTTTCAACAATTTAAGAGGTGTTGTACGGGTTTGTTCTCAGTTGTTTTTTTAAGAAATACAGTGAAGTACTGTTTCTTAAGAACGAGGGGAGTTTGTGCAAGAGACGTGGGGCTAAGGACTGAAAGGATTTGAAACCAGCTTGTTTAAAAAAAATTTAAAAAATGCGGTTCTACATTGCCTCTTGAGTTCTTTTAAGATTGTAGAAGTACATAGAAAGTGTACTTCCACTTTAAATTTTGAGAAAAGCATTCGAACCCTGAAAGTATTAAATATTTTAATGAAGAAGTCTTATCCCTTGTTTTACCTTTTCATGAGTTCTTTTAAAGCCCCACTGCACTACTTATAGCTACTTGCTTTATATAGCAGACAATGCCTAAGCAGTGACCGTTGGTCCCCCATGGCACCTTTTTCTTATGTTAATCAAGATCTGATTTGACGAGATAACCACCTGTCACTGCCCATGCAGGGAGGTCTAATCCCTCCTGGCCAAACTAGTGCAGATGGGCTTTAAGACTGTAGAAGGACATAGAAATTGGACTTCCACTTTAAATATTGAGAATGACATTCAAACTCCAAAAGTATATAGGTTTTTAAGAAAGAAATTTAAAGAAGTCTTTTCCCTTGTGTCACATTTTTTAAAAAGACTTTAGAATTTAATTTATTTCCACAAAACATGAAATAAAAGTGCACAAATAGATACAATCAAACGAAGTGGTCGGATAAGAAAAGTATAAATACCTATCAAGGTTATCCCCTTGAACGATATCAATGCAAATAGGTACACAAAGTAAATAAATTACAAATTAAAATTGAAAATAAGTTAAAAACTACAAGACTCTCACAAACTAATTCTCAAATACAGACAATTCTACCCATAGACATAGAAGTACATAGAAAGTGCAACCTGGAAAATGATGTATTCTAAAAGAAATGCTAATTAATAGTTCTCTTTAAAGTTGTTTTCTTGCTTATCGGGCTTGTACAGTGGAAACCCATGTTATAGAGCTCTAATAGTATAGCCATTTAGCCATTCCCAGCTCTTTATGTGTTTTAGTTTTTTTACGCTGATATACACAAGATTCCTGATTAACAAGGTTATTTCTATGGTCTCAAGGACCTCGTTATTAGGAGTTTCCACTGTAATAACTATGTTGATTGTCGGGTCAGCATATCAAGAGAATATGATAGAACATTAAATATGGCATGTGCCTGTAGAAATCTGCTTGTGCATCTGTTAACAGCTGATATAGCATATACCCTAATACCTGAAAATTTGGTATTGTTGGTATTGGCTATGTTGCTGCAAGAAACTTAAGCTAAATGCTAATAAAACAACTTGTGATTGGATTATTTAATGGCACGAAGCTTACATAAATATAGCCAACTTGTGAAACTTGTGAATGTCATCATTTACAGTATGCAAGTTCAAACACTATAGGAAATTTACAATCAACAAAATGTAAATAATTTCATGTTTGATGATATTCATTTGAATATCAAAATGCTGTTGCTTATTTGCAGGACTGCAAGGGGAGAAAAGATGGGAACAGCCCTGTCCTTTGTGAATGAGCAGGAGCAAGATCTTCTAGACAACGTAGAACAGGAACTTATCGGAGGTAAGATCCTTAAAGGCATCGTTTAACAATGTTAAATCTGAGATGCATGGCCCTACATCTTATACAGGATTTTGTTTCAGAATCTGAGACAAAGTTACCCAATCCCTTAAAGGTATAGACCAGTTTTTGGAAATGCCCCCTCTCAAAAAAAATGAAATGGAAGCTCTTATTACCTATTATGTGAAAGAATCTGTTACAAATTTTGCCGGGAAACCGCCTACTTATTGATATATTTGGAAATATCGAACTCAAATGTTGCGTTTTCCTAACGGTGTTCATATCACTATAGTCAACTGTGAAAGATGAGTATGGTAAAATCGTTCACTCAAGGATTTTTACTTTTTTGAAGCACTTCACGATCATTTTAAAGCGCAACTTTTTAGGGCTTCAATATTACACCATATCACAGACACTGATAACATATTGTAGGGCCATGCATCTCAGATGGAAACATTGTTAAACGATGCCTTTAAGGATAATACAGAAAGCATAGTTTCTTGTTCTTTCAAATACCCCAGTAAATGAGAATTCTTATTAACTACATAATTATAATTTTTAATAACTTTTAGAAAGTTTCTTGTGAAGTTAAATGTCATTACTAGAACTCTAGCCATCTTTAAGAAATTGAATTCATCACTTGTTTGCCTCAAAGAGAAGGGGCAAAATGTTGTTATGTAGCTATAGTATTTTTCTTTTTTCTTTAACTCATTGCATACAGGAACCGGGTGGTCCCTAAACTAGGCCTATGGGACTGAGAGAATTCAGAAGCGTACAGATTAATTGAATTTCAAATTGCTTGTCTTTTACAGATGATGGAACACCTTTAATCAAGCCTTATCAGTTCAAGATGTCAGAGATTGAAGGATTCAGGTATCGAGCCAAGGTAAGAAATCATGAGGACTATATCCCATCTGTTTCCACCCAACTAACTCCTAGATGACAACCCCTCTTTGACAAGTAGTGAATTATGTTCAAAATGATTCATCTCTCTGTATTAATTTTGTTAATAACCAGCATTTGTTTGTTCATTCATTTAGCCGTGAATTATACTCCTTTCATAGTGCTTCTATCTGAGTCACACCCATGAAAATACCGATAGAATTTGCCTTATGTAAACAAAGGTGAAACCGTCGCTTTCCCTGCTGTCCCTTTCATACTGCCGGTGAAATTCACTTGCTGTGCATGTGGCGAGCCCCAGGAGGAAGTGAAGAATTATTGCGCAATCGCTTGTTAGCTGCTAGCGCGTGCCTTTTTAGATATGGCAGACAGTGCAGTGCAGTGCGCAGCTAGCTAGCTAGCCTAGCCATGCTCAAAAAAAGTGCATGTACAATAGCTTTAGCTGGAACAAGATAACAAGCTTTGACCGTTTTCATCAGTGTTTTCCCCAAACCCATTCACAGTGGCCGTTCCATAGGAGTCACACCCATAGAAAGAGAATTTAATCACCTATTTCTCTTCTTTTCATCGGCTATTCTAACTGCTTCCGGATGCATCCAATGAAAATAAGGCCACTTAAAGGTGTACTAGGTACGGTAGACGTCATTAATTTCTATCTCTATATTTCGTAACACCCAGGATGCAATGCGAGCGGTAACGAAGGTGGCAGTGCGTGAAGCCAGGGTGAAGGAGATCAAGCAGGAGATCTTCAACTCCAAGAAACTCAAGGCCTACTTTGAAGACAACCCAAGGGACCTACAGCTCCTCAGACACGACAAGATCCTACATCCTGCGAAGGTCCACTCTGACCTCAAGAATGTACCAGAATACCTTGGTAAGTCATCGCCATGGTTACCGCTCCATTAGAGTAATCCCCATATTCTTCAGTGCTTCCAGTAAAGAGCAGTAAGGATCATAAAATGAGAAATGTAGTTTAGCTATCAGTCAATCAATATTTTTGTAATGCAGTACGTACATTTCAATATAAAATTATTAAATTTGTAGTGGTCTCTTCAATTTTTTTTGCCTCCGTTACAAAATCTGCTACTTTGTAGCGGGAGGCATTATGTTTTCGTGTTGTCCGTCCGTACGTCCCGTTCTCGTGATCGCCTTATCTCAAGAACCGATTGATGGATTCCCGCTAAACTTAGGTCATGTATGTCTCTTGCAGAGCCAATGAAGTGATTAGATTTTGGGGTCACAAGGTCAAAGGTCATAAGTCACAGGGCTCATTATGTATGCAAAAACAGCTCGTGATCACACTTATCATGAGAACCAATGAACGGATTACCATCAAGCTCAGGACATGTATGTATCTTGCAGAGTCAATGAACTGATTAGATTTTATAACCCTGTAAGTTGGGGCTTTGATAGGAGCGACACCCTCGCACCTTTGATCGATATCGGCAAAAAGTACTGGTTCAAAATGATTTTTTTTTTTTTGAAGTTGAAGTTGAAATTTTGAGCACTCTTATACCTAAAATCACTCATAACTTTTGATAATTCTTTCATTTGAAGTTGTAGTTCATGTTTAAAACTAATTTTATGCCATTAAAATTAACTTGAATGTCAAAAATTTAAGAAAAAAGAATTTGCCAAAAATTTTCAGTTTTGAGCTATCAAATACTAAATAAAAAACATGTATACCGTAGCTGGGATTATTTTGTCATTTGGAGTTGTTGAAGACCATTTTTGTTGATATTAAGTGCCTTTTCATGATTTTGAAATTAACAATTTTAGTCTAAGAGTAGAGGCAAAACATGCGAGCCGCCATCTTGGATTACAATGACAATGGAAAAAAAATACGTGCTTGTGAACGCATTATCATTAAACGACAGATGGATTACTATCAAACTCAGGACATGTATTTATCTTGCAGAGCCATGTATATGAAAAATAGCTTGTATTCACGATATTCTGAGAACCTCTAAATGGATTACAATCAAACTTGCTTCCGTTTAGGTTTGTAAAATCGCTCTCTATGGCGGAGGCATCATCTTCGACCGCATGCAGTCGAAAAATCCATTTAGTCTTGTATGGATGAATTTTCAAAAGTATTGACTTTACAAGGATGGAGCCTGATTGCTTAGAGATCGGTAGAGATGAACCTTTTTAAATTCCTTTTATAAAAATTGATTAATTGTATATTGCCCAGGCCTGCTTTTGACATCCATAAGAGTACTTTTCAATTATTTGACTAAATGAAGGAAACAGGGTAACATAAACTTTTCTTGACATCGATCGCTGTACTTATTTACTTGTAATAAAGTACAGACCACCTTCTATTAACTTTGTTGTTATTTTCATGCCTCTGATCACCAAAGATGGTGCCAGAGGCATTGTTTTCTATATATATCTCCCCCAATATTTGTGCACAACGTATCTCAAAATCTATCTACATGTATGCTTACACTTTAAACATTGCTTGCATTGATCTGTGTCAGTACTCCTTTTGAACAGTTTAATGATTTATCTGAATAGGTTGAATCTTATGAATTGTTAAAGTATTGACTTTACAAGGACCGAGCCTGATTGCTTGGAGATTGATTGAGATGAACCTTTTTAATTTCCTTTTCCAAATTATTTATTAATTGCATATTGCCCAGGCCTGCTTTTGAAATTAATAAGAATATTTGTGGATCATTTGACGAAATAAGGAACTTTTATGTACATTAATTGCTGTACTTATTTACATGTAAGTGCTGTTGTTATTCTGTATGCCTCCGCCCACCCAACGTGGTGCTGGAGGGCTAGGGTAAGGGTTTACCCATAAACTTTCAAAACAGAAAAGAATATGATTTCCTTCTTTAAATTTTCAAAATATATTGATACCAAGATATGTGCTTGCCCTGTTCATATTTTACTGTCCAGGTATGTACATGTACATGTATATAACCAAAAGAACTTAGATTCATGAAAAGTAGTAGGAAAAAGCTACATTTATATGTTCAATATAGTATCAACAATCAACATACCGGTACAGTATTATACAAGCATTGAATACAGGACAAATTGTTAATATATACAGTATATTGGTACATTAATTTCTTCCTGTTTATACAACCACAATTATTTCAATTGCATTTCTTTCTAATTACATGGTGATGATTGTGTGTTTAACAGTAGTTTACTAACAATGAAAGATCCTAATAAAATTTCAAATGAATAGCCATAATATTCTACAAATTTACTTTTAGGTAGAAATATCTTAATTCTATACATTTGTACAAGTGTTCCTGCATGTAGGTTACTCTTTCAGAGCTGCCAACCATTTCGTTTTTGCCAGAATTACTCAGTTTTTTCCTCCAAATTACGGTATTACTTTTTTTTGTTTTTTTTTAAAAAATTAAATTTTTTTTTTACATACCGCATGTCAAACAACTGCACTAAAATGGTGATTTGATCACAAATTCGATAGAAAACTAAATTTAAAACATACTTGAAAAGAAAAATTCCTGCTTGTATAGAAAAAACAGCATGATGAATGAACATTTCTGCATTGGAAGTGTGTCGCGCGTGGTTGTAAGTTTCGTTTTTATGAATTCCTTTTTTTTTGCTTGAATTCCTTTTTTTTGCCATCATGATTTCTTTTTTTGGTCGCACAAGGTTGGCAGCTCTGCTCCGCTCTGACATTTTGTTAATTATTGCAATAAGTGAATGGCCTGCAACAGGTATGTCTGAAGCGTTGATTTACAAACAGGTAGATAAAAACATTGATGATGTTATTGATGTACTTGATTTGGTAGCAGAAATACACGAAATCATCTCTCAGCTGACGGTCTGGGATGATCCTACTGAGTTGATTTCTAGGAACCTGATCAAGCACAATGCTTGGAAGCCAGAAGAGAAAAAATATAACTGTAATGATGATGACCACTTGAGTAGTCTTATGATCAGTCTGGTGGCTTTTAGACTTCTTTGATGATTGCTCTGTCTTCTCATGGACTGGCCTAGGGTGGGATCTTGTGTCACAAGGGCCTTCGTTTTGCAGAGAGCCATGTCGTCCTTGCTTGCAGGTTCCATTGGACTCTGTGGCATTTGATAATTCAGCATCGGACTTAGAAACGGCAGCACTTACTGATATGACACTCTCAGTTGTAGTGGATGTGACATGTGCATTTATCATTTTCTTGCGAATAATTTGGTGAGCACGGATGAACTTATAAATGATGAGGTATAAAACAGTTATAGCTATGGCAGAAACACAGAATACAATGGCTTGTGATGTGGCGTAGACCTCACCTCCCCATGGGTTGTCGCCATACACTTTGCACCCATACGACTCTTCATTAAACTTCACTGAAGTTGTAATGAAGAAGAACGGGACATGAAGACAGACTGCAAGAAGTGTGCAACCGATGGAGATCAAGATAGCAGCTCGGCGTCCGATTCGTCGATCGAATGGCTTACAGATGGCTTGGTAGCGGTAAACAGCTATCGAGATCGTGAGAAACAACCCGGCATATAGTGCAGACCTTCCACCGATGATCTCCACAAAACATGCCCATGGGTGTTCATTGTGAAAGAAGATAATTGGGATCCTCATGCTGTTGATGATACAGGCAATGAGCTCAACAATGGCAAGTGCAGTAAAGGTAACATCAGTAGCATTCTTGATACCTTGTCTTACAAAGACATATATGATCGTTATGTTGCCAGGAATACCCAGAGCAGCAGCCAAACAACCTAGTACTATGCGGATAATTTCCATTCCACTAAACATTTTGACTGATGATAGCAAAGTATGATTCAAAGAATTTGATCTGAGGTGGAAATAGTTAACTGATATATTTCAGCAATATCTAAAGATCATAACTGAATATGATATCTTAAGTAACTTTGATAATGCTGTAAACACTGTCAATGCTGCTACTGAAATGAAAGGATTAATGAACCCAACATGATATTTATACACTAGCAAGTCACATAAGGTAGGGTTAATAGCGAAAAATTCAGAATTCCTTAAAAAATTCTTTTAAACTAGCAGATTGAATGTTATCATATGGCCTTACCGTTATTGATTCCCATGTATTCTGGCAATAAAAGCAGAAAATTCAGACTATCGACTTTCTACCTTTCTGGTTAGTCACATACTTCCCCGCATTTTCTTGTATGGATGAATTTTCAAAAGTATTGACTTTATAAGAATGGAGCATGATTGCTTAGAGATTGGTAAAGATGAACCTTTTCAAATTCCTTTTACAAAAATTGATTAATTGCATATTACCCAGGCCTGCTTTTGACATCCAGGGATGGAGCCTGATTGCTTGGAGATTGATAGAGATGAATCTTTTTGAATTCCTTTTACAAAAAGTTTAATGATATATCTGAATAGATTGAATCTTATGAATTGAATTTACAAGGAGGGAGCGTGCTTGCTTAGAGATCGGTAGAGATGATCCTTTTTAAATTCCCTTTACAAAAATCTTATTAATTTCATATTGCCCAGGCCTGCTTTTGACATTCATAAGAATACTTGTCAATCATTTGACTACCGGTAAATAAAGGAAACAGTGAAACATAATATTTTTATCTGTACTTATTTTCATGTAAGTACAGACAACCTTGTAACTTTGTTATCCCCTCGCCGACGAAGTCGGAGGGGATATAGTAACGCTGCAGTCTGTCCTTCCTTCCTTCCGTCCTTCCTTTCGTGCGTCCGTCCGTCCGTAATAAATTTGGTTTCCGATCGATAACTTCAGTAATGTTTGACGGATTTTAATGAAATTTGGTATGAAGGTTCATGGTATCAAAACACAGCCTAAGTTTAATTTCGGAGTATGTAGGTCAAAAGTCATAGCTCATTAAATATGCGAATCTGGTTTCCATTCGATAACTTGAGTAATGTTTGACAAAGTTTAATGCAATTTGATATGAAGGTACATGGTATCAAAACACAGCCTAAGTTTAATTTCTGAGTATGTAGGTCAAAGGTCCTAGCTCATTAAATATGCGAATCTGGTCTCCATACAATAACTTTAGTATTCTTTGACGGATTTTAATGAAATTTTATATAAAGGTTCATGGTATCAAAACACAGCCTAAGTTCAATTTCGGAGTATGTAGGTCAAAGGTCATAGCTCATTAAATAAGCGAATCTGGTTTCCATTCGATAACTTTAGTATTGTTTGACAAATTTTAATGAAATTTAATATGAAGGTACATGGTATCAAAATACATGTACAGCCTAAGTTCGATTTCTGAGTATGTAGGTCAAAGGTGAAAGGTCATCGCTCATTAAATATGCAAAAACACCTAATTATATATGTGCCTTGCCTAGTAATATACAACTGTAATAGTATAGTCCAATGGAGGTAACTTGTTCTGACGTATGTAGGCCATTTGTACCCTGCGAGGGGATGCTACGCTTTGCGTTGACTTGTTGCGTATTTTTTCTTTATGAATCTCCCCCACTATTTGTGATGATGATGATGATTCACAACATTTGTATGGCGCCAAATACATTCAAAGGCGCGAGCTCCTCCAATAAAGTTACTTGTGACTCTTGAGTGAAGCTTTGAAGTGGTCCAGGTTGTCAATTTCGCGAAGAAATGATGGGAGGGAGTTCCACAGGCGAGGAGCAATAGAGGAAAATGCCCGGTTTCCATAGCCCTTGAGATGAGTGATAGGCATCTGGAGAGTAGGCCAGATGAGCGAAGTCCAAGGCGAAGATGACGCCGCTCAATTAAAGATGACACATATCCTGGGGTCTGACCATGAATTGCCTTAAATGTGAACAGCAGGACCTTGAATTCAATTCAGCTCTTGACAGGAAGCCAATGCAGCTCAGCCAGGACAGGGGAGATGTGGTCATGCTTCCTCAGCCCAGTAAGCAAACGTGCTGCTGCATTCTGTACTGCTTGAAATCTGTTCAAGGTTGCAGAAGGAAGGTTGTAACAAAAATCGAGTCTAGAGGAAATAAGTGAATGGATAAGGCTTTCTGCTGCCGTCCTTGTAAGCAATGGTCTAGTAGCTGCAATGTTACATGTACATGGAAGTACATGTAAGCAGTCTGACATACCTGTGAAATGTGCCTGTCCATTTTCATGGACCCCAAGGTTACAGGCGCTTACCGTAGGAGAGGCAGACACATTGCCAACTTGGAGGTCCATGGAGCTGATCTCGTTCCTCATGTTTGATGGAGAAATGATGAGGTATTCGGTCTTGTCATCATTGAGTTTAATGAAATTCTACACCATCCATTGATGGATATCTGCAAGGCACGAGGTCGTCCTTGCAGCTATGGCCTTTTAATCAGTTGTCACTCTTGGATCAAATGTCACATACAGCTGAGTGTCATCTGCGTAGAAGTGGACTTGTAGACCATGTTGACGGGTTACGTTCCCAAATGGGGAAGAGTACAACGTGAAGAGTATTGGTCCAAGGATGGAACCCTGTGGAACGCCGTAAGTCAAGGAAGCTTCATCCGACACAGTTCCATTGATGTTCACAGCCTGTCGTCTGCAGTGAAGATATGACCTGAACCATTCCAGGTCAGTGTCATCGACCTTGAAGTCCTGTTGCAGCCTCTGAAGAAGGATTTTGTGATCAATCGTATTGAATCATCGAATGCAGCAGATAAGTCCGTAAGAATTACCATAACCGCTTTCTTGTTGTCGACTGCCCTCAGGATGATAGATATTTACAGAAGAGCAGTCTCTGCGCTGTGAAGCCTCTTGTACACAGACTGCATGGTCTCATGGAGGTCATAGTCCTGAAGGTGTGATGTCAGTCTGTTGGCGACTACTTTCTTGAGGACTTTGGCGAGGAAAGGCAGGTTAGCAAAAGGCCGTTAACTGTTCATCTCATCACGATCTAGGGATGACATCTTCAGAACAGGAGTAACATGAGCAAGTTTCAATTCTTCCGGAAACTTCCCTTCCTGTAGAGAAGCATTGACTATCTTTGAGATAAGCATGGCCATCGAGTCATCATTTTCCTTCACAACTGAGGTAGGAATCGGATCCAGGGAGCATGACTTTATGCAAAACGTATCTCAAAATCTATCTACATGTATGCTTACACTTTAAATATTGCTCGCATTGATCTGTGTCAGGACTCCTTTTGAACAGTTTAATGATATATCTGAATGGTTGGAATCTTATGAATCATTAACGTATTTACTTTACAAGGATGGAGCCTGATTGCTTGGAGATCGGTAGAGATGAACCTTTTTAAATTCCTTTTCTTAATTATTTATTAATTGCATATTGCCCAGGCCTGTATTTGACATTCATAAAAATACTTGTCAATCATTTCATCCCTATTTTCACGAAGTGACGGTAGTGAATAAAAATCACATACAATTTGCTTGCGGATTTTCCTCACTACCGTCACTTTGTGAAAATAGGAACAATTTGACTAAACAAGGAAATGGGGTAACATAAACTTGTTATGTACATGAATCGCTGTTCTAATAAATGTAAGTGCAGACCACCTTTGTTGTTATTTTGTATGCCTTCGCCCACCGGAGGCATTACGTTTTCTTGTTAACGCGATATCTCAAGTGACTTAGTGACAGTATGTACATGTATCACAATAGAAAGACGGGCTGATTAGATTGTGGGATATATAGGTCACTGGTCAAAGTTCACCGGGGTCAATCTCTGAAATTACACGTATTAGCCTTGATTTTTGCGATATCTCAAGATCTACTAGAGGTGTGAACTTCAAACTTGGTGACAATATGTATCACCATAGGAAGACGATATGATTAGTTTTTGTAGTACGTAGGTTAAAGGTCAAAGATCATAGTCATTGGTTGACATGTAATTATAGGCTTTTTGTTTTCGTCATGATATTTCAAGAATAATTCCATCCATTTCTGATATTACTGATATTAGGGCGGAGGCATATAGGAGATGCAGTCGCATTTTGATTTGTTTGAAGATTTTGAAGTCAAGCTCCTTTAAAGCCCCACTGCACTACTTGTAGCTACTTGCTCCCTCTATATAGCGAACAATGCCTAAGTGGTGGCTGTTGGTCCCCCATGATCCCTTTTTCTTATGTTAATTGAGAGCTGAGTTGATGAGATAACCACCTGTCAGTGACCACGCTGGGAGCTCTAATCCCTCCTGGCCAAACTAGTGCAGACGGGCTTCAATGTAACTAAATATTCACATTAAAACCATGCATGCTGACCATCAGTTGTTATTGCCCCAAATTAGCAAGAATTTAATTACCAGTAAAATGACACTAGTAAATCATAGCAAAAGAAAGAAAGAAATATGCCTTTGCAACTTTCAGAAATCTATGGACTTTTAATGTTACCTTCTTAGAGACAAACTTTATACAGTTAAACCTGTCTACAGCGACCCCCCAAGGAAAACAAAAAAGGTGGTCTTCGAAGACAGGTGGTCTTTGTAGACAGGTTCCTTTAGTACATGTTTCAATGAGAAACCATTTTCAAGGGAAACAAAAATTGTGGTCCTTGTAGACAGGTGGTCTTTGTAGACAGGTGGTCACTAAAGCAGGTTTGACTGTATCATTGTAATTAAGGTTTCATCTCTTTGATTTCTCATCAGTCCCCAAGGCTTTGAGAGGAACCATTCCCACCACAAGCAGACGGAAAGCTCCCAAGAGGGCTGCGGCTGATGGCAAGGGTGTACAGAAGAGAGAGTCCAGGGTAGCCAAAATGAAGGTAAAAGAATCCCTATGGCAAAGGCTTCATGGTGATAGCACTGAAATTAACATTTGGTGTATCAACGCTCTTTCTGATATGAAGCGGAGCTTTAAAGCCACACTGTCCTACTTGTAGCTACTTGCTCCCTCTATATAGAAAACAATGCCTAATCGGTGACCATTGGTCCTCCATGATCCTATTTTTCTTATGTTAATTGAGAGCCGAGTATGAGATAACCACTTGTCCAGTGACCTTGCAGCGTGGTCTAATCCCTCCTATAAATTATTACAGATAAGCTTTAATATGTCACCTTTTCAAAAAACATAAATCGGAACATCAAATTTTCACATACCAGTACTTAAAAAAATTACACAAAATTTGATAAAGGTATGAATAATGTACCGGTAGTTGTTAACTGTATTTAAATCTCTAAAAAGGGTTTAGAGTGTACAGTGCAAAGGTATCAGATTCTTTGCACTTATTAAATGACAGCACTCATTTGCATCCAACTATCCTTCATGATGGTAACCAGTACATTTTGAAAATATTTCTTCAATTCATGTATGATTGTCATGGATATCTTGAATACCTATCTTTCTTTTTGTTAAAACTACATGTTTGCATTAAAGCATTGTTTTTCTTTCTACATGATGTCATTAATATTGACTTTATTTATCCTTTTTTTTTTTACAGAGGAAAACTGAAGAAGATCCCCTGCAGAGCTTCAAATACAAGGGAAAGAATTGATATATCAGCTCTGAATTTTATTAATACTGAACCCAGTTGGACTCTTATTTACTGAGCATTTAAAGGACTTTTATAGAACTACCAGGAGCATGATGAACCGTTATTTCACACTGATGCTATCAATCAGGAGCTATATGTAGAACGTGCTCTCAGAGATACATGTAAGTCATCATGGCTTAGCGTTACTGAATTCAGCATGTAGATGAGCACTCGGATCAGCCTTACAAGTGGACCCAGGGTTCTGCGATACCAGCTTCATCAACAGTTGCTCCAAAGTCAATGTCCTACATCATCGAAATTTGATCCCCTACAAAAAGACACTTTACCTAACCCTAACCGTAAATATTAAGTCAATCCCAATTGGAAACCTAACCCTATATAATAATGATGTATTTGATGAAAGAATGTTGGGATGCCAGATTCTGATATTGAAGTCAACTGGGTCCTATTGCAGGCTTCATTCCTGGAATGAATTGTAGAAAGGATTGACAAGCAAGACATCAAGTTGTTGCATGTTGATTGCTGACTTCAGGATGTGTGTTTTTATGTGATCAAGGAGCTGTAACACTACTCTGAAGAGACTGAAAAATCAGGAGTATCCCTTTTCAAAATTTGACATTACTGTACCTAATATCAGTGCCTGTAGTTATATGAACAAAGAGTATCAGACACGAAAATGGAACGCCATGTTCGGATGGAATTGAATGCAAAGATCATGTGTTGTACTCGATTTGCAAGGGAAGAGAGACTGAAATCAATAGACCCTGCTTTTTTGTGGTATCAAATGAATATATGTGTCTGAATATATTCACAGTGTCAGTCAATAGCAGTTAAGTGTTACACTGTCCATAAATAAAATGTTCATATTGATGGCTTCGTTAAAGGATGAATGGTAGTGGATTAAGTAATAATTTTCTCTTGTTGTTTGCAGCACAGAAGCAAACAAAAATTAGCTGAAGATTTCTGAATATGTATGCACATTTGTTGCAATTAAAATATTTGGGCATCTGCATCTGTATTTGTTTCTATTACTGGAAAGCCATAAAAAAAACAAGAGCTTGGTACAGCCCACAAAGTGAGCTGCAAAAATGTTCTGTAAATGGGATCTACATTATGGCAGACTATCTTGAGTCAATTATGACCAACTTCATACCTCAAAAGTATCATTATCAATAAACGGCTAATCTGGAGTATAAGTTGTGACATGTAGTTGATTTTTAATTTTAATAATATTTATCAAAGGTATTTATAAAATGTATAATCTCTGAGCTATAACACATTGTAAAAATGTGGGTCTTTTGCACTCTACAGTGTATGGTTTTTATATGCAAGTTTCATGACTTCTGGTACATTTTGCTTGCAAAAAAATAACCTATACTTTATGAGGATTTTATTTTCTATGATTGATGATTCAAAATGACTTTGAAACAGATTTTTATGAAATACAGTTTCATTAAGAGACTTTGGGTTATCTTTTAATACAGTTCAATTACCTGTCGGTCTGTTTATTTGCCATGACTCTCTTGGAAACTAACAAAATTCAAAGTTTAAACTCCATGTATAGCATTTCAAAATATTAGTGCAACATTCCAACTGCTTTGAATTCCCTCTTAAACCCAACAGTCCTTTTCAGAACTACCCAGTACCCACACAGTAAAACCACAAACTTTCTTATTTGAAGACATTGTTTTTTAAATTACAGACCTCAGCTGTTGTGTTCTTTCTGGGCCACATTGTATACTGCTAGGATACATCAAATTGATAAATTGAACAAAAAAATAAATCATGTTATCATTAAAACACTTGTCCAGTCAACGAAAGAGCCCCAAAATTTGTGTATGTACTTCATTAAGAGAAATATTGTCGCGACACAGTCTGATGGCTTGATGAATGTGTTTCAGGTGTATAAATAAATTACTTTGGACATAAATATTATTAGACTGCATTTCTGTGATTCTGTTTTTCCCTTGGCATTGCGATGTTTCTCTCCTTTCGAGACCACTCTGAATGCTTTTTTATTGATGACTGAGTATTTCAAAATATTTTTTCTCTCCATTTTATTTAAAAGAAAACATGATTAGCAAAAAATCTGGCTTCAGCTAGTGATCTGAATACTGTAGAAACCTTGGGTGGAATTCTGAAAATGATGTTATCTTTATATTAGTAAAACGATGTTAATTGTCATAACAAATCAAAATTAAGACAAGCCATAGCTTAATGTCTCCGCGAAGCTGGCTGCGTTAGCGTAAAATTAAAGGAGACATCTGCGCAACCACTAAAACTAAGTGTTACATGTAGTTCCCTGTGGTTAGAGCATGTTATGACAAATTGCATCGTTTTCCGTAACAAAGGAGTTAGCATCGCTCTCAGAATTGCGTTTTAAGTTATTGCGCAATATCCTAGATCTTACTGTCAACGTTTCAAGTTATTGCGCAATATCCTAGGTCTTACTGTCAATGTTTCAAGCTATTGCGCAATATCCTAGATCTTACTCAGAACGTTACAAGTTATTGCGCAATATCCTAGGTCTTACTGTCAACGTTTCAAGCTATTGCGCAATATCCTAGATCTTACTCAGAACGTTACAAGTTATTGCGCAATATCCTAGGTCTTACTGTCAACGTTTCAAGTTATTGCGCAATATCCTAGGTCTTACTGTCAACGTTTCAAGCCATTGCGCAATACCCTAGGTCTTACTGTCAACGTTACAAGCTATTGCGCAATAACCTAGGTCTTACTGTGAACGTTACAAGCTATTGCGCAATACCCTAGGTCTTACTGTCAACGTTTCAAGCTATTGCGCAATACCCTAGGTCTTACTGTGAACGTTACAAGCTATTGCGCAATATCCTAGGTCTTACTGTCAACGTTACAAGCTATTGCGCAATACCCTAGGTCTTACTGTGAACGTTACAAGCTATTGCGCAATATCCTAGGTCTTACTGTACAAGTTCTGATTTTTACATCCCGGAATGTTCCATTTACAATCCTTTGTAAAGCCTTAATCAGGAAAATTGATTGATTGATGTAGAGGTTCAAATGAAAAGCATTCCCCTTATTCAAAAAGTCTCCCAGTTCATTTCAACAATTTATCCATTGGTAAAGTTACCCATCTTCAAACAGAACATTCCAATCTTGACACAGCTCCTCTCTTATTCACAGGTGAAAGGAAGTCCCCCTCTTCAAAATGAAGTCTTCCAATTCTATTCACAAATTCATCATTTGTGAAGTTACTCATCTCCAAATGGAACATTCCAAACTTGACTGTGCCATTTATTTACAAGTGAAAGACATTGCCCTTCTTGAAAGCAAGTCCCTCAATCAATTGCAAAGTGCATATTTTTTTACAGGCCATGTAATAATACATGACATCTACAGTGTATTTGGAACATTAAACTTTTGATAACCCCTGTTTAATCATGGTATATTCAATTTTCAATAGATCTGTCAATGTGGCTCAGAAAGATTTAAAGTGTGGAATGTACCATTACAAAAGTAGGGGTCTTGAAAAGATTCATATGGATGCTGTATGGGCCTAAGCAATTCTACAGAATCCTAACTGGATTACACACACATACAAATGTATACATGTCTATATATATAGTCTGTTTTGAGCCTGCACAAGTTAATTTAGTGATAAAGTCCATGCATATATATTAGTTACTAGTAGTAGTAACACCCCTTTGGCTTAAAACAGATGATAATGATATGGATTGATCATTTCATCAACTCCAGATCACTCTCCCATTTTAAATAACAAACAAAATTGTAAAATAAAGACACGTGCTGCAGCCTGTGAGATTTAAATTTCATATCTTTTATAACATATCTATTTATGCAGTGAACACTGGGACACTGAACTCCATGTATACAGTACAGCTGACATTGGATGGATATAACAGTGTGTCATTTGCAGAAGCAATCAACTTGGATTAGATATAATATTAATAATTCTACCTTACAAAAAAAGAACAATTGTCATAATATCCAGATCCTGTAAAAAAAAAAGCACTTTAAAATAACTTCAAAAAAAAAAAAAAAAAAACGAGAGGTAAGAAAAGAGAAAATGAAAATGCTACAAGTATTTGATACAGTTACATATGGTAAGGCATTTTTTTTTAAATAAAGAAAGCACTGCTAAATGATGTTCAGTTTTTGGACAGAGCAATATGTTATAGTAAATCAAATGTGACGTATCTGTGAAAAGTCTGGGGACAGCAAGATATGTATTTACGTATTGGACACAGCCAAATGTAAAGTAGAGCTCTAAATATGAGCAGGTTTTTTTGAAGTTACATGAAAATCATTTCAAGAGAATCTATTTAAAATTGCGTGAAACTTTGTTTAACAGTTCAGGGTACAGTCAAACCTGCTTTAGTGACCACCTGTCTACAAAGACCACATATTTTGTTTCCCTTGAAAATAGTTTCTCATTGAAACATGTACTAAAGGAACCTGTCTACAAAGACCTCTTTTTGTGTTTCACTTGGGCGGTCGCTATAGACAGGTTTGACTGTAGTACAGATAATATTACCGTCATCCCACTCTCACAGCAATAAATCACTTTGATTTAAAAAACAAAATAATGGTGAGAACTTGACATTCTTCAAAGATTCCTGATTTTCTCAAGAATTAAAAGAAAGTGGAAAAAAAAATCATATCACATTTTATTATTAGCCCAGAGCCCTGTTAACAAAATTGGAGATATTTGATAAGACCAACTCAAAATAATACAAAGACTTGCCTAGTTTGTTTAAAGTCTCAACACCAATATATGCCTGGGTTAAAATTCCAATTCCAGCAGGTTCCCAGAGTATTTTACATTGTCCATCCTGCAAACCTTTGCAATACTTATCCATTGTTTGCACTTTCAAGATTTAGAAGAAAAAAAGAAGACAACTTTCTGACCTTGAAGTTGTTTATTAAAGGCTAATGACATTGTTTTAGATGCCTCAAACCTTTTGTCTACTACTAGGCATGTGCATGTCAATCCCAGCATTATTTGTAGCGAGGATATGAATTTTGAGGCATTATGAGGCCTTGTTGTATTAGGTTCAATAGAATTGATTCAATAACTTTTAGAACTCATGAACTCTTTAAATTTGCTCTTGCACGTACAAGGACAAATTGGGGTAAATAATGCAACCTAGATTCTTGAACATTTTAATTTAAAATTCACCTTTTGATCACAGGGTGGGCTTATTTTCAAGATGAATGCCAGTTTTTAATCACTGTTGTTGATGTTTTATTCCTCCCTAATTACATTTTAATCAGAGCGAGTTATGAAAAAGTATTGTTTTAAAATTGATTTTGCAAATTTTTTGAAGGAATTTCAGGATATTAATAAATATTAGATAGAAATAAACCTGAAAGGGATACAACTTTTGACATCACAACTCTGGTTGACATGATTAAAAAGTTATTGAGAATATTCCTTTGATTTTCTTGTTTTGTTAAAGCAAACAAAATTGTGATGAAATCAAAAAAAAAAAATTCTTGAAAACTAAGCAGCTGCCTGTCATGTCACCTAGCCTTTTGACAAATACATGGTTTGAAAACACACTATGACAGACATTGTCTCCGCAATGTCATTATCATTTGAATTCATCTTGGAATATATACACGATTCAAACACACAATGTCATTCGGTAGCCGTCCCCCATTACACATCGACGCCATAGAATGTTCCAGTTCACAGTGTCCCTTAAAATACATACAAACTCTGTGCGTTTTTTAAATCTCATCTCATTGCTCTATAATCATATTAATTGTCTTTTCTTCACCTTATAAACGAGTACTTTAAGATGGTGGTAGCGAGCAAATGACATCTTCAGGTCAATTCCAAGCATTAAGGAATGACGTTTCCTGAGAGTTCTCAATTTTGAATTCAGTTTATTAGAGACATTTTGATAAAAATCGACAAATTAGTGATATATTTACTAATATGAACAGTTGAGTTTCCTAACAACCATCCCTAAGATTCATTAAATAGTGAATTTTAGATAGGTTTATTTGCCATTTGGTTCATTTGGTAAAAAAGCCATTCAAAATTCACTATGTTATCAATTTGATAAATAGTTGATAGGAAGTTCACCTGTTGCGTAACTACCTCATATTAGTTTATATATTACACGTCTATCATTAATTTTGTAGATTTTGATTACAACTTCATAATTTCCTTTTTTCAAGATTGGAAATTCTCTGGAAATTTCATTCCACAATGTATGGAATCACCCTTCACCATTCCCATAATAAGTATTAGTCACCTTGATAAAAATTGACATTGTTGATTAGTTCCCTTCCAATTCAAGGCATTGCTTTTGATTACTTTCATTCATACACAACAAATACAGATATAAGATATACAAGTCATCAACAACGCTAACAAATTAATTTTCTGATACACTAGGTCAAATATTCCCTGGGGCTTCCCAATCTTTTACTTTCGGGATAATCTTGAGTTCAGCTAATGAAAAAGAGAAAGTGTTTCACAAAAAAAAAAAAAAAGGCTTTTAGTTTTCATTACAGTTTTTCAAACCAGCAAAATGTCAATATCATGAATATTTTAAATACTGGCTAATCCCATACAATATCAAAGCACCAACACAGATATGAAGATATGGGGTAACATGTTGTATTAAAGTCACAATTTTTAAATTGTGAAATCAGATATGTCATATTGCATTTGTTTTGTTCTTTGTTTTCATTATTATTATTTTGAATTGTGAGATTTTCTTCCTATAATTTCTTTTTCATTATCGGAACTCAAGAATACCCTGGGAGATGCCAAAATGATCTGCTTAAAACTTTGATTTACTAGGTTATGTAATGCAAGTATTAAATAAGTCTCTCATACAGAGTAAAGCAAAAATACTAAAGAGCCTCCTTTTCCCTACCAATAACACAATCTTTAAATAACCCTGGTATTAAAGTCAGTACATTAAAACTGATTAAAGATATTGGCAATCTTACGCATGTGACTGACAGCCCGACTATCTACACCGCTAGAAGCGACATTTTCAAAAGTTGATCAAAACAATTACTATTAAAGTCCTCCTTTTTTATGTCATTTAAACCTGATATGTGTAATAAAAACATGTTATTTTTGCAATTTGTGTATTAGTATTCAAAAACAGATTATCTGATTGTGTAATCAGAAAATCTATATAAAGCAGTTTGTTAAGAGGGTCTGTTGGAGGGTGAGGGGTGCTTGTTACGTATCGAGAGCGATAGTTGTGACAAGCGCACATGAACAAAATCAAAGGTCAAATCATGGTGCTCAAAACTAGACCTTTTAATCGCATGTGTGTGTGTCGCAACTATCTCTTTCAATATGCTATGGTGGTGGTGGTTATTTTACCAGACAGCTAAGAAAGCATAGATGCTTGTTAGTAAGCAAGCAGACGGCCGACGGCTTTAGGTCCTCTCTGAGGGACCTGGTAATGAGGATTAATGCCTTACCAAAGGGCACTAGCGCATCGACTTCGTTTCGAACCCAGGTCACCGGATTACAAGACCACTGCTCTACCAACTGAGCTATAGCGCCTCCTGCTATGGAGGTGCTTAGGGCAAATTAATTACTGTTATTATGTAGGGGGTTTTACCAAGTTAATGCACCACCTACAAAAGGAAGTACAGTAATGCCAATGTTCACAGTAATAATGATAAGACGGTGTTATCGTGTTCGCATTTTGGAGAAAGATGAATTTTAAATATTCGTTCACTTTTAATTTCTGTGTATGACATGAATTACAGAAAGAGAGGAAAACCAGAATATATAAGCTCTAGATAACAATCAAGGATCCAACTCATTTCCCTCTCTCATGTGTTACATACTCCACTGGATGGGGAAAAAATGTTTTTCCTTTAGCTAACACTTTGAGGTTTCTTGTTTTCTCTATTGCAAAATATGAAATCTGACAATGTGTTTGGAGGGGCTTGACCAAAGGGTACAATGGCTCTAGAACTGTACTTTGATAGGTAGGTTAATGTATGATTTTGGTTGTTAACGTACAATTTAATTAAATAGAAATAGTTGAGTAATTTTGTAATCAAGGTATAAGTGAATATTATTAATAATAATGGGCTATTGTGCCATTAGGCCAAAGTCTGAGACCACTTTTCTAATTCGAAGGGGTGAAAAGTTATCATGTAGAACTTGTTTTGACATAAACATGTAAAGAAAGATGAGGCATGTGTCTTCATCAATAAAAGCTGGTACCCCGGGATCACAAAGAAAACTAATAGCATAACATAACATAAGGCAGATCATTGCTCGCAGATATCTATAAAAAATTGTTCTGAATGAAATGAACAACATATGCGCGTATCTGGCAGGCTGCTTGACAGAAAGACAACAAATGCAATGCCCCAGGTTGCCAATTTAGGATCTCAATATCATTATTTTGTCAAATTCTTACCAACAACAATAAACCAAAAAAAAAAGAGGAAAATATTCCCTGTCATACAGGATCCTTACAGCAACAACTTTGGAGGGCCTCTCTCTAAACAATCTACTACATCTGCAAAAAAGTATAAAATAAAATATTGCAAAAGTCTGAAGTGAGTGCCCGCTATTCTTGGCCCCCGACCTAGCCCAGTCCTATACTGGCCTGATAACAGACTCTCTACCATTGGATATCATAGTTTATATATTCATATTAATATAATATACAAGAATGCACTGGTAAATTGGTTTTGTGTTTTTATCTCTCTTTTACTCGCCTCACTGTTACAATATCAGTCACAAACAACACACAAACACAGGGAGAGGCTATGTGCTATGCCGGCCCCTCCTTCTCTTTCAAATTTAAAGATCCTAACTTGCGAAGGGTTGGCGATGCTATCGTCAGGGTATCCTCCACGGGACTGCTCCGAGCAAGAGCACCCTCTATGTTTTCTAGGGAAGTGTCGGAGTCCTTGTCGGAGTCGTTTAGCGTGGAGAGGATCAGGTCTTGGAGAAAGAAACTGCGGTCTGCGTTCTCTATCTCTGAAACCTGGAGGTCAGTCTCTGACAGGGAAGGATCATTTATCCTAAATGGAGGAGAGAGAGAGAGAGAGAGTGAGAGATATGGAGAACAAATATAAAGATGATACCGTACTGGAGATACCAACTGCCATCAAGTGGTGGATTTTGGACTAAGGATCTTACAATCTCATTGTAATTCATAAATGAACATACTGGGATTATCAAGTGCATATCATTTTTCAGATAAATGTCTTTTTTTCCCAATTAATATCATAGTTTGCCTTTTAAAAGACATATTAAAGCCTAAATCAACCTCCTTTTCACCAGCGAGGCTCCTGCAGTGACGTCATATGCTATTGCGCAATACAGCTCCGAAACTGAGTCGTCATTTTTAAAGCTAGATTCCAGAATTATTGATAATTTCTAAGAAAAATCATTGTCATGTTCGGAATCTCGTCAGAAATGTCTTTTTTTCATATTTCAGCCCATTTTGGTTAGGGTGGCCCTTTAAGGTTGGATTTCTCATCATGAGATGCGAGACTGTACTCACCTTGATAATAGGTACTGGGACTCTGGTTGTGATGCTGCGCTGGCTGCTAGTAAGCCAGCCTCTACCACCGCGTTGTAAGAGGGGGCGCCGTGGCTGCTGGGGTTGCTGTTGGCCGATGCAGCCGCCCCTGTAGGTCTCCGTGGAGGAGGTACTGTCAAACTTTCTACTTGCCGTCTCCCCTGCGAGCAAAAGGATAGATTTAATAGACACATTAAAGCCCCACTGCACTACTTGCGCCCTCTATATAGCAAACAATGCCTAGTTGGTGCCTGCTGGTCCCCATGATCCCCTTTTTCTTATGTTAATTGAGAGCTGATTTGAATTGATAACCACCTGTCAGGGACCTTGCAGAGAGGTCTAATACCTTGTATGATGTGCTATAGAAATATAATTTATTATTATTATTATTATTAATCCCCCTGGCCAAACTAGTGCAGACAAGCTTTTAGAAATGTTATTCTGCTGTCATTAAAAGTTAACAAATGTAAGTAAAATGACTATTGTTGCATTGCGTCATGGTAGAATTTGTATTTGACTATGGATTTCTTACACAATTTGAAGGGGGCAATGCAATACTTTTTAATTAGTAATTATTACCCTCTATAATGTCGACCCAGCAAATATCTTGAATTCCCATCTAAGATTAGGATGACATTCATTACATAATCAGAATTATATCTATTTTGATGACGTTATTGCAAAACTTCAGCTCTTAAAATATCTAAAAAGTAAATCAAGTATACAAATTGACACCATACTTTACATCATATTTTTGCTGGAAGGTATATTAGATCTTTTGACTCTTTTACTAATCAATGATGATCCTTGACATTGCAAACTATTTTAAAGGGGCAAACAAAAACAAAAACAGACTAACCCTACCTATAATATGAAGGTACATTTGAAATAGCTGTTGCCATTCTGTCTATGATGTAAAATCTAGTTCTACTGAATCAGATTCATTCATGAGTTCATATATTAATCACTGAAATTATCAATGGCAGGAAATGAAGGAAATGAGAGGAATATCATTCCATCCTGTTTATGAGGCAATGGAACACCCCATGTGTTATTTTGATAAGAAGCAGAAAATATCCATAAACCTTTAAAAAAATGCCTTTATTTACATGTATATTAGGCATGCTCAAGATATTTTCTGGACGCCTGTACAATTAATGTCTGAGTTAAACTCGATTATAAAAATGAGGTGACATTTTTCAATTGTCAGTAGGTACTATAGTGCAAAAATACATTCAACAGTGTAATGAAATACAAAATACTCATTAATTGAAATACAAAGGCACAATTTGGAACATTTTCTCTATATCTGTCACAAAAACCACTTGAAATAAAATTTTGTTTCTATAGGGTCATTTTAGGAAGTCTCAAATCATAATAGAGACCCTTACTTTTATCTAGTTGTAATCTAGTAACTCATTGTTTGATTTAGCCCACAGCCTTCCATACAGAGTTTGGTCAATAGAACATATTAGGCACCATTTATAACAACTCTAACCATATGTCTTTGAGGAAATATGGGAAGGGAAGGTGAGAAGAAGGGAAGACGAAGAAAAAAGTGTGAGATCTGGAAGTAGATGGCATAAGAGGGAAAGGAAGACCAAAGATTTCACGGAGAGACATGGTGAAGAAAGAAAGCAGTCAATGAAGGTTGGTCCAAATGAAGAGGTTGGTCTAAACAAGGAGGATGCTCGAGACAAGAAGATGTGGAGGGAGGGAGTGTCATCATGGTGCAAAAGTCAGTAACCACTCAAAGTTAAAAAGTTGACTTTAATAAATGATGACGATGATGAAAGCACGGACCAAATATGATCAGAGCATCAGATCATTGGATCAGCAGAGTCACTGATTCAAAATGAAATGCACTGTCATGTGCTGGACAAAAAATTATGAAATCCAAGTGAAATATCCAGCAACATCGCTTGCCTCATGGCCACTTACCATACTCCTAACTTGGGCATTCTGAGATTGTTGCTGCTGTTGCTGTTGTTGTTGCTGCTGCTGCTGTTGCTGCCTTTCTAGTTGTAGCTGCATCATCTGGAGTTGATGCAGCTGGGAGGCCGTAGAGGAGTGGCTGCCAAGACCACCCGCTGACCGCCTTGCCCCAGATAGCTGCGATAAAAGTTCTGATCCCACAAAGAACAGATGATTGGTCAATCAGGTTGGTCAATTTGAAAATGAAAGGCATCTCAAGCATGTGTATCTCTTCCTTTCTCTCTCTCTCTCTCTCTCTCTCTCTCCCTCTCTCTCTCTCTCTCTCCCTCTCTCTCTCTCTTTCCCTCTCTTTCCCTTCTCTCAATGTTTTACCTCGTATACTTTTATCCAAGGAAGTAAAAACTAATAAATTTCAGGAGGTTCAAACTGAGTGAAGGAATCGCTTTAACAAAAGTCAACTATTTTTTTTCTTGCTGGTAGATAGATGAGGATAGGATAGGATAATAAATACTCAAACTCTCTCCTTAAATCAATAACCTACAATTTATTAATTGAAACTTTAAAAACAACCTCTGTCTCTAAACACCTGTAGACCAGAAAATACATGTACTTCTTCAACAAGATTTCAGCTTAATTTAAGAAGCAATATTTTGCAATTACACATGGCCTGCCATTTTTATGGCGACCCATGGAAATATGACAAACTGAAATGTGTAATGTCTTCTAAATTTTACATTTGTTCAAAAGAGATTTGTAGCATTACAATCATATTTAACATTTCCCATGGATACCAAATTACAATAAAAGTTTGTCTATGATATAAAAGAAAGGTATCCCCCCCCTCCATCACCCTCGCATCAACTTCTCCACATTACACACAGACATTCACCTGCTATAGGGTCCATAGCTTCTCTGTTGCCGGGGGAACCTGAACTTTGACCCGCGGAGAGTCCACTGCCGCCGCCAAAGTGCATGTTGGTCCGCCGCGGTCTGGGTCCTATACCTCTGCCTGGATGAAACATTCTTCTTAGATGCCTCACGTTGCCTGCCTCGTCGTAAGATACTCAAAGTCAAGGAGAAACCGGTAAAGTTACATTTGTCAGAGTGATAGTTCACCTACAATATAAAAGTTTAAGTCTGTAGAAATTTTATCATAAAATTTTGCAGCAAATGTTTAGGATAAATAGTGTGAGACTTTCATTGGATCTCCGCCCTATTTTTTAGGGTTACTGATTCATAGAAATGTGTCTATTTTACAGGAACTTCTTTTGAAGAAACAATTATACCATCGCAATATCTGCCTACATGTACTGAAAGGCATGTGAGTACAAACTTATGCTACCTTCAAATCAAGAATTCCTTTTAGACATTGCTTTTTTTGTTAATTAAATCTGAAGATACTGCACTACTTTTATGCTGCGGGTCCTATTCCGTACATCACAAATCCTCTTTCAGTATAAAGCAACCACTTTATTTGTGATTCATTAAAATGGAGATACGGTAGTTGCTTTGTTACAGATAACTACTGAAACTGCTTTGTGCAGATTTCAAGGCTTGTCCAAAACTAATATGTTACTTCATGTTTACATGTATGAGACTGTCTTGTTTAGTAGTGCAGAAGTAAACAAAACAGCACTACTATTATACACCAGAAACCCAAAAGTAGGAGGCTTGAATTCTAAGTTCTCCTGATTCCTAATCTTAGCTCAATAAAAATCAAGACTCTCTTCACATTTGACACTATTTTCTGATCATAAACCAAAGGATATAATTTCTCGCGATGATCTGTGTTCTAACGTTAGATGAGCTGCAAAATCATCAGTCACATGATTAGGGTCACCTCCTGGTGATGCTGCACACACTGGACATACCTGCAAGATTTCAACAACAACAAAATATATAAAACAAAATTGAAGATGAATTCAAGAAACGTCAGTCCTCAATGATGACAATATATTGACAATCTACAATGTACATGCATACATGTACATGTATATCAGGGCTTGACAGTGACACTACATGTAACAGGCGTCTAGGACAAAATCTTACTCCAGATGCCTGAAATTGTGGAATTTTCTTCATATGGCTCATAGAGACTGTCAAAAGTACAATCTGAACCCCCTACCAAAAAAAAATAGTGTTGAGCCCTTCAAATGTGATGAAAACAAGGAGAATAAGTGGTCAAATAAGTAAGGTTCTGTCAAACAAGATGGACATGACTTGACAAGACTTCTCCTGAAATGAAGTCATACTGAAGGAGTAATATTGGCTCATGGGTATTATCACAGAGGCCTTTCCTAAGAAAGAAAATTGCTTGGTGAGCAATGCCAACCATACAATGAAATCCTTGAAGGCTCATTAGCATAAATTGTTGTGGTCTGACCTAGACAAACAATTTTCAATGCCTTATAAACATATACAAGAGGGGAGCTTTTTTATATCGCTCCGTAATGTCTGACCAGCACTGAACTCTTATCATTTTACATCAAATAGTGGTGCATGGTCGAAAAGGAACAACATATGCTATAAAAAAAAAATGATTGATGAAATTATTAAAAAATTGTATCATGTGTTGCAATTTCACAATGCACACAATTATCAAGAAAAGAACACTCAAACTTAAAAAAAACTTGGTTTCCTGTAAGATCATTTTGTTCTCGGTCTCAAACAGGATATCTTTTAAAGGACAATCTAACCTTTCTAGCAATTTGAATTATGCAAAAAAGGGAAAGTACAGAGAAACAGTACACCTAGGTAAAAGCTTGTTAAAAGTTTCATTTTTTTTTTTAGAAGTTCAAGAATCCAAAATTTACAATATGTTCATTTGACTATTAAATAATTTTAATTTAATTCAAAGAAAATTCCAGTCCAGGACCTTGTTTCATAAATATTGTTAGCACTAACAACAAATGCTAAATTTCTATGACAAATTTGCTCTCAGGCAATCAAATGCCACAATTTCAGGAGCTTATAACAGTTATTGTAACGGTTATTCATTTTAAAAAAATTATGAAACAGGTTTGAAGGTCCCTTTAAATATCCGCAATCTTGGTTAAATTTCAATAGAGGAACAAAGGCTTGGCTCACACTACTGTATGATCTGACTATGATCAGATTTAGAAAGAATTTATAATATCAATTACATGTACTTAGATTTTTGATGATCAAGGATCTCAATAGTCATATGATTAATAAAATCTTAATTTCAAGGATTTCAAGTTATAGGGAAGAAGGAAAAGCTATATTGGCTCCGAATAGATGTGATGTCAGACTGGTTAAGTGGTTGTCTGTCTACACTGTGAAGCCGATTTGAAAAGCTTATATTCAATAACATTCTGGTTATTAGTATTCTTATCATCTAATTCAGGAAATAATGTTTGCTTAAATTTCCCTACGATATATAATTGAGATATCTTCAAAAATCAGGCTGCAAATACATCTTTAAGTGTGCGGTGGGCTTAAGAATACACATCTTTAAAGAGAAGGTTGAGTTCTGGGAAGAGGTGAAAAATAATTGTGAGCATTATAATTGTTATTTTGCAAGTGTGGAAGAACATCAGATAAAAAATGCTCCATGAAAAGCATTGCTCTTCAAATGCCTTAATATTCTAAATATGGCATGTAACATCATAAAATTCGGACAGATTTTTATGCCACATGTTCGTGTAGTCCCATATACATCATTCTGTGAACAGTGCTTGTTACTTTACCAAGACTGGGCCAAATTTCTTATCATTTTGATGATTCCAGAACCTTGCAGTAAGTACACACCAATAAATGATCAACCTTTTCTGATCAATTCCACACCATTTCTTTCACAATGCAATTGCATGACCAGAGGTTAACTTTATCTTTAAGATTACACGTATTTAAATTAAGAACAGCATAACTCACCACTTCTGCATTAGAGTCTGAATGTTCTGAAGTGACGTGCTCTTGTAGGGTTGTTTCTGTATACCCCATCTTCCCACAGTACGGACAGGAGAAGGACTGTGCTTGGTCTAAACTCACCGCTTCACCACCATAATATAAATCTGACATTTAGAAGGAAATATAGAAGAAAAAAAATGTGTAAATGGAGGTTCACTAAGCTGAAAGAAATCACAACAGAGATTAAAATATTATAACAAAGTTTCCATGTACAATGAGAGAAAGAAGAAACAAAAATCTACATTTAAAAGAAGAAGAAAAGGTAAAACAAACACGTGTAAATGGAGGCTCACTAAGCTGAATGAAATCACAACAGAGATTAAAATATTAAAAATCTACATTTACTGTACTTTAATAGAAGAAGAAGAAAAAGTAAAACAAACACGTGTAAATGGAGGCTCACTGTAAAGCTGAAAGAAATCACAATAGAGATTAACATATTATAATTATTACACAGTTTCCATGTACAATGAGAGAAAGAAGAAACAAAAATCTACATTTACTGTACTTAGAAGAAGAAGAAAAAGTAAAACAAATACGTGTAAATGGAGGCTCACTAAGCTGAAAGAAATCACAACAGAGATTAAAATATTATCACACAGTTTCCATGTACAATGAGAGAGAAGAAACAAAAATCTACATTTAGAAGAAGAACAAAAAGTAAAACAAATATGTGTGAATGGAGGCTCACTGTAAAGCTGAAAGAAATCACAACAGAGATTAAAATATTATAATTATTACACAGTTTCCATGTACAATGAGAGAAAGAAGAAACAAAAATCTACAGAAATTACATGCAGCTACATGAACATGTCAAGTACATTTCAGGAGAAACAGCCATTACAATGCCTTTTGTTCAAGGTTTATGCCCATCATAAGATGATGCTTCCGACACTACATTATTCTTATTGAATTGATGCTGATGTATGTCTACACAAAAGATAAATAGATGAAGTAGAGCCTATTGACTAAGCTCTTCAGAAACTGTGAAGACGTTGAAACGAATTTCAGTCCATATACTTGGTGATGCAATTTTCTTTTCATTTTTTTCTTCTTGTAAATTATGCCAATAAAAAACTGACATCTAGACTATAATCAACATCACGGTCATAAACAGCTTAGTTCACACAATGTACACTATCATTTGGCTGCCAATTTGCCAATTAATGAGAGAAACCATGATCAGCAAATAATATTTTCTTATCTTTTCTTGACATGGGGATATAAAATTTGATTTGATTTGATTTGCTTTGATTTGATATGGTAAAAAACATGCAAATAGCAGCCAGAGGCTGAAACGAATTGAATTTACAAAAGATTGATAGTTGATACATGTACAGGAAAGCATTACATTAAAAATCGATTTGGTAAAATACAATTATGTTTACATTACAGTTGTAGATTAGAAAATATCAATGGCAATTCACAATGAATAATCAAGGATATGATAAAAGAAAAGAAGAGAAAAGAACATGCTTCTGAAAAATAATAATTCACAGGTACATGCATGAAAAAATATGTATGTACAATGGATCTGGAAGTAAAACAATTATCCAAGGATGACCAATAAAGGATGCTGAATATCAAAGTGCAAACTAACATTACAATGTAGGTACATTATGTAAGAACACAAATGCAATGTTCATGTACACATGTATTTTAATGAGTCCTTCTACACTTGACCTTCATTCATTGCCGTACATGCCTATGTTCCGTATGCTACTGCAGTGTACAGCAAGCAGCTGCCTACTAATGGTTCTTTCATTTTCATTTACATCGAGGCGTGCTCTTTGAAGAAATGAAGTGTATTTTTTTTGTTGCTATTGTTTCTTTCTTCTTTTGGGGGGGGGGGGGGCCCTACATATTGAGAGAACTTAAACACCAAAATTATGAAACAAAATGAATCACAGAAGAAGAAAAAAAAGAGCTCTTTCTATCAACATTTTGATGTTTACAACTGATAAGATCTAAACGAGTATTACTGAGTTCTGCATTTAATAATGAAGTTTTTAAAAGCCAACTGTATGGGCCAAGTCCTGACACTAAGGCAGAGAAAAACAGAAACCAAAATGATAAAAAGATGACCAACATCACATCTGACTTTTCAGATGAAAACAAGGAAGGACACTGCCAAGTTGGTGTTACAAGTTTGTTTTAACCCTTTTGTGACAATCATCCTACATTTTGAGGTTTGGCTCAATGACTTTTGATATAGAGCAACATAAAGTATGCTTGATGCATGGGTAGAAAGAGAAGATTTTTTTTTTTTTTTTTTTTTGATTTTTTTTTTGTTGTTGATTTTTTGAAATTTTTTTTTTTAAAAGAAAAAAAACCATGAAAAACACTGCTAAAATGGCTCTATTTCTGATTAAAAAAAAAAAAAAAATTGTCGGCTGCCATCTTGAAAAAAAAATGGCCCGACTGTCAGGGAAAATATACCGAGCGGCTTAGTGGTGCTAAGGTAGTGACTTCAATGGTAGATGTACAATTGAAGATACCGTAATCTGAAAATTTGATTGAAAACGGACCATTATTCATGGTACAAATTGGGAAAAACTTACATTGGCAACATGTTGAGAGATTCAAAATCATTGTTTTTTTTTAAATCAAAAGTGAAATTTAAAAAATAAAAAAAAAATTTGATTTTTTTTTTGTTGTTGATTTCTTGAAAAAAAAAATTTGAAATTTTTTTTTTTAAAAAGGAAAAAACCATGAAAAACACTGCTAAAATGGCTCTATTTCTGATTAAAAAAAAAAAAAAATTGTCGGCGGCCATCTTGAAAAAAAAATGGCCCGACTGTCAGGGAAAATGTACCGAGCAGCCATTTTGAAAGAAGAAGAAGAAGAAGAAGAAAAAAAAAAGGGCCTCCTCCTTCCAATTTTTCGACGCTAAACATGTTTTTTTTTTTTTTTTTGGCCTTAGTTCTGCACACACTGTATCCATTTTTGATTCAAGACAATAAGTGTTTGATGCCAGGAGTTTCAAATAGGAAAATAAGCTTTAAAATGATTACATTGGCAACATGTTGAGAGATTCAAAATCATTGTTTTTTTTAAATCAAAAGTGAAATTTAAAAAAAAATTGTTAACATTCTCGCCCACGTACATTTTATTGTCCTCAGCTCTGACATTACAGTTTATTTTAAAGGGACTTGGTAACATTGTTCAGATGAGAGATAGTGGTGCTAAGGTAGTGACTATAATGCTAGATGTACAATTGAAGATACCGTAATCTGAAAATTTGATTGAAAACGGACCATTATTCATGGTACAAATTGGGAAAAACTTACATTGGCAACATGTTGAGAGATTCAAAATCATTGTTTTTTTTTAAATCAAAAGTGAAATTTAAAAAAAAATTGTTAACATTCTCGCCCACGTACATTTTATTGTCCTCAGCTCTGACATTACAGTTTATTTTAAAGGGACTTGGTAACATTGTTCAGATGAGAGATAGTGGTGCTAAGGTAGTGATTATAATGCTAGATGTACAATTAAAGATAAGGTAATCTGAAAATTTGATTGAAAACGGACCATTATTCATGGTACAAATCGGGAAAAACTTACATTGGCAACATGTTGAGAGATTCAAAATCATTGTTTTTTTTTTTAAATCAAAAGTGAAATTTAAAAAAAATTGTTAACATTCTCGCCCACGTACATTTTATTGTCCTCAGCTCTGACATTACAGTTTATTTTAAAGGGACTTGGTAATGTTCAGATGAGAGATAGTGGTGCTAAGGTAGTGACTATAATGCTAGATGTACAATTGAAGATACCGTAATCTGAAAATTTGATTAAAAACGGACCATTATTCATGGTACAAATTGGGAAAAACTTACATTGGCAACATGTTGAGAGATTCAAAATCATTGTTTTTTTTTAAATTAAAAGTGAAATTTAAAAAAAAATTGTTAACATTCTCGCCCACGTACATTTTATTGTCCTCAGCTCTGACATTACAGTTTATTTTAAAGGGACTTGGTAACATTGTTCAGATAGAGATAGTGGTGCTAAGGTAGTGATTATAATGCTAGATGTACAATTAAAGATAAGGTAATCTGAAAATTTGATTGAAAAACGGACCATTATTCATGGTACAAATTGGGAAAAACTGATCTGATCGATTCCTTAATTCTCCCAATTATATTATTGCAATTTAATTACATTTTAGGTGAATGGAAATCTCACAAAGCAATAAAATGGCTCTACATTCCATTCCAGACATTTAAGAGTTTGACAGATTTTTTATAGCCTGTTTTATGTCTTTTTTTCATGGAAAACGGTTGGGAAAATTTACTATTAATCACTGTTAGAGGGTGATGTTCATCGACGCATTCAAAGAAAACCTTAGATATCTTCATGGTTTGAGAATTTTTTTCAGGATTTTTTGCACGTCAGAGGGTTAGTACAGTACAAGGAATATAGTAAGTAACATTTTATACAAAAATTAAGCACCTTTTTCATCAACCTTCAACAATGTTACCAAGTCACTTTAACAATGTACATGTACATCGTACAGTAGCTATGAAAATAAAAAAAAGCCTATTTGAAGAACAATACATGTACATGTATGTGATCAATTTAGCGCTAAAAATACATCCCGTCCTGAAAGGATTAAAAGATGAAGTGTTATTGCTTACCAAAATCTGATCTAGTAAGTATGCACTGCATTGGATGCTCTGCTGTGTGTCTTGTAGTGGTTGCTCCGTTTTCATAGCAGGTCGAACAAAGGTCATAGTCGTAACAGATGAGACACTTGTACCGTCTGCCTCGGAAATTACTTTTTAGACAGCAGTCACAGCTTACACCTGAATAAATGGGGGGAAATTAGTGGGTCCTTATTGATTACTTTTTTAGAGATAAAGTTCAATATTGGTTAAGTTATCACACTGTGAATTTTTTTTATTTTAAAAACTGTCTGGAAGCAATTACATGTACATGTATGTGATGCATTATATAACCTTACATTACATTTGATGCATACTGCGAGGCTTGGCATGAAAAAATGATTGAAGCATGATGAAAATCACTTGCGCTGCACACAGAAATGGGTATGTGGGACAATAAACACACACACCTACATGTAGAATATGCTCGGGGCAATCAGGATTTCTCAGCCATGGGTCTGAAACTCTAGAATGAACTCCTTCTACAAATACATCAACTGTCATCAACAGAAACATTCGAATCACAACTGAAAACTTGTTTGCTTTTTCCATTGTAAATATTGCAATATTCTAATTTACTACATGTATGTCTAGGAGAATTCTGTTTTTTGTTTTTTGTTTCTTAAGTTTGTTACATGTATTTTTCTCTAAGCGCAATGAGCACCGAAAGGTGGACCTGTGCGCTATACAAGTAGCTACTATTATTATTATTATTATGTGGCTTGAAGGTTTGGTCCAACTTTCCAGCTATTATATGAAGAGCATATTTTTCTTGGGTCACTCTAACTGCAAAACAAAGACTGAAAATGTATTTCTTTTATGACAGTGCTCAGTAAAATCTCACAGCTTGAGCAGAAGGGGAAAAAAGAAGTGATGTCTAATTATTACAAAGAGTCTAGGCACCATACAACTTATTTTCATTACAGACAGCAGTCACAGCTTACAACTAAGCAGAATGGAAATGGGGGGGGGGGGGGGGAGAAGAAGAAGAAGAGGAGGAGGAAGCAGAAGAAGAAGAGGAAGAGGACGAGGACGAGGATGAGGATGAGGATGAGGAAGAAAAAAGGAAGAAGAAGAGGAAGAAGAGGAAGAGGAAGAGGAAGAAGAGGAAGATGATGAGGAAGAGGAAGTGGAAGAAGAGAAGAAGAAGAGAAGAAGAAGAGAAGAAGAAGAGAAGAAGAAGAGAAGAAGAAGAGAAGAAGAAGGAGAAGAAGAAGGAAAAGAAGGAAAAGAAGGAAAATAAGGAAAAGAAGGAAAAGAAGGAGAAGGAGAAGAAAGAGAAGAAGGAGAAGAAGGAGGAAGAGGAGAAGAAAATACTGTCTAGGCATCTATTTTATTTGAATACCAGTACGTTTGAATAAAAATAAATAAAAGGTAATGTTTATTGTTCTCTGAGGAGTCTGTCTGCAGAGAGAGGATAAAATGGGAGCAAATGACATGAGCACTACTGAAATCATGATTCCTTCCACCATCACAATCACAATTTTGTACCCCAAATCATCAACTTGTTGATCTTACACATGCATCAGTGTCACATTTGATTTACACGTAAAATTTCAAAAATAAGAAAGGGCAAAAAAGATGGTGAATTATTGACATGTAACTGTTACAATGGTTTTGAAGAATAAACTAGAGAATTCCTATAATATATCGACAGCATAACTCGGAAAAACAAAAACGTAAGTTTTGTCCCATATAATGTATGATTACATGTTATTGAATATCTAAGAGAACAGTTGATCAAATTGTCCACAAAGCCAATTGTCAACCCCTACAATCATGTACAGTACATTTACATTACAAGTACAGTTCTCTGGGGGACTATTTTTGTACTGTTGTGTAGTGTTGTGAACGAGTGTGCCATGCTGCGTTGTGTGAGCCTCCAAAAAAGAAGTCCCAAACGGTTTTAGAATTGAGTAGTAAACACTAAAAAGTGTTCACTGTGCAAGTCAAAATAACTCCTTCTCCAGCTAGTTTTGATGCAGAGTCACCCCAACCAGCTGCCTCTTGTACTGTTCCATAGAAGAAGCTGCTGTCACAGTGGTAGGGAGCTGGTTCCATGAGCTGATCGCACTGGGGAAGAAGGAGTTTTGATACCCAGAGGTCCTGCACAGTTGCCATCGGCAGAGAAGATGGTAGAAATTGGAAAGTCGACCAAAACATCACTCTATTTCATTCAGGGATAGGTTCTGCTGAAACTACAATGTATGTGGGACTTTTTTATGTGCTGCAGCTAAAAATTGTATGCCACACTACAGTGGTGATCTTCACCCGTGTGCTCTACTTCTCATTTGGCCAAATTTCGATTGATATGTCACTATTTTTTCACAAATACCACTGAACACAAAAACACAAGTCACAAAACTTCTAATTCAATTAATACGATTTTATAATTTTTATGGTTTCTTACAGTTGTGAATTTCTTTTATAGAGCTCGATTTGAATTGAAAGTGAGTGTGTACGTACGAGCCATTCAAAACGTACGTGGTGTATATTGTTGATTCAACATAGCGAAGAGAAAGTTTGGTTTAGGTGTAAGGAACCACCCTTTATCCCATCAAAGACATTTTCAAATTATAATTTCAAGTGGTTGACCGGAAGCCCAGAGGAGTCAAAAAACATTGTAAGTCTAAATATCAATTACTACATGTACTTTTTTAGATTTCTAAAAAATAGATCTAGATCTAGGACCAATATTACTGTTTGAATTGTGTCCCGGTGTACAGTAGGGGAGCTGGTCCGAGAATAAGGATCGTCCACATAAACGAAGAGCGTCTTCGTAAACGCAGACAGACGTGTCAGCAAAAATAAGGATTGTCCGCATTTCGCAGACGTTTCATATTTCCAATCTGCGCGTTGGCGATGCAAAAAACTGATTCCGCAATGATTTTCTTGATGCATTTTACATTGATTTTGTACAGAGACTTTCATGATCATGTTATGAGCGATTAATCTCCAGGAAGACGGACAACCCATAAAAGTAGACGGTGAACCAGGGTTATTTTCTTACGCGAAACCTGCAGAGCGCCGATGAGACAAAGAGTCCCGGAAGTGCAGACGATCCTTATTTTTAGGACGCAATTTCGTCAACGTTTACAAGGATATCCTTGTTTATGCAAACGATCCTCATTCTCGGACCAGCGCCCCTACTGGTGTAGGATCTGGAGTTAACCCAACGTAGAACTATAGCTCCCATCCTGCACATATCTTTAAGTTCACCCATTCTCTGCCTCGTTTTCAAACACGGCCGCTTTTTGGCCCTTCATGCAAGCCTGCAAGGCCAAGGCTAGGGCCCTTCTGATCGGCCATCACTGGCTGCCTTCGCTAAACGTTATAAGATGTTAGTAAATAACCTTCTGGGAGAACATTAAAATGGGGTATAATTTAAGAAAATCTGGGGTTGTTTGTAATCTTCTTCTTCTTCAAGATAATCTGCCTTCTTCAATACTGAAGATTCTTGCAGATGCCGTATACTCGGCCTGATTGGGGTGTGCAGGTGGACCATTACACCAGGGTTTCCCCCTTCTCTTATACAAATAGTGCAATGGGTTCTTAACGTACAAGGGTGGTGACTCTCCTGTACACGGGGCCTCCATTTAACGTCCTATCCGAGGGACGCAGTGTTTTCCACTTGACATAACCTGCTTCTATGAACAAGGCCAGGGAAGGGGCACATTAACACACAACGCAGACTTCAGTCATCCGCCTGGATGGGAGTTGAACCCGGGATCTTTGGTTCGACAGGCAGAAGCTTTACCAACTGAGCCAACTCGCCTCCTTATCCTACAACATCCCATTCGCCACCTTCATTGAAATCAGAAATGTGTTTTCTTTTTTTTGACGGTCGTGATGGTGTCCCTTCCTGAATTGCCCAGGCAATCTACGCAAAACAATTTATTTGCATAATTGGAAATAAGTCATCAACAGCATTACAATTATCTGTATCAGTGAGTTTATCATTCAGTCAGATTCACATTTACATTGATTAACTCAGTCTCAGACAGTAGCCAGGCAGCCGGCGCCGCAGTTTCACGAGATCACATTCATTTGAATTAGTGCAGGACTTTTCTATACGTAAAGTCTATGTAATAATGCTGACATGTTCCGGTTTCTGCAATCTGCTTACCTTCATGTCGGGACATCCTAGGCAAAAACTCAGCCCCAAGTTTGACTCAAAATCCATTCACAGCTTAAGGGGAGTCTTGTGACCTACAAATTACATGCAAATGTTAAATACAGGCTCCACATGAAAAATAAATGGTGTTTTTATGTCCAATTATTCACACATATTCATCAAAATCTAAAGTGCTCAGCCCCATGAGCAGTGATGTCACAACCTCGAACAGAGGTTTTCCAATAAAAAATATAAATTACCTTATAAAAACATTCAAAATTTACTTAAAATATCTATAAAAATTATTAATTTAGAATTATAATTATTTCAAAATCTAAAAATATCGAAACATGCCAAAAAGTAGAAAATGTTACTATACTCTTCACCATTCACTTCATCAAAATGGCAGCTAACTCCCGTGTCTTCGTTTATGGTGGAAAAGGGGCCCTTGGTTCCCAATTGGTGAACTTTTACAAGTCAAAGAACTGGGTAAATTGTTAAGAACCTATTTTTCCAACGATTCTGATCTTTGGGAAACATTTTTTGAAAAGTAAATTACAAATTTGGATCTGTAACATGAGGCTCCTCTGTACACAGTTTAGTACAGTCCCACCTGTCGTGACTTTTGTGGGGGCAGTGCAGTGTCGGCATCGACTCGGCGCAAGTGAGCGTTGTTGTTGTTGTTGCTGTTGTTGTATTTGTTTTTGTTTGGTTTTAAGCCTAAAGGTGTCCTCTCTGAAGAGACTGTTGTTGTTCATAGTTGTTTGTGGCGTTCATTCAGTACTGAATACATAGATCTACTCCATATCTTCAGTTTAATAATAAGAAAATTCAGTTATCAATAAAGGAAACTGAAATTAAAATAGGGGGCCTAACAAATTGTAGTCTAGGGGGCCGTTTCTCGAAACCGTCATAACTACAAGATCAACGACATCTCGCCACTGTCACGCAACTTGTCAGCTAAGTGTTTCACGAAGCCGTCTTTGCAAGATGAGCGACAACTTCCGCGACAAGCGAGTTGTCACTGCTCCGAACCTGTACCTGTCATATCTTTTTAATTGCTGTAAAGCGCCATCACAAGTCAGTTTGTTGCCATTCCATGGGCCGCGAAATGGACGATTAGTTTCACTATCATTTTGAGAAAAATATAGACGAGTTCGGTACGTAATTCTCTGGGATGCGAAATGCAAATGTACAAAAGTGAGAATACAAATTATACAGAAACTTTAAAAAGCTGAATATAAACATTAAATCACAAATCATTAAACTATAACATATAAATAAGAGAGGTAAGAATGTTACACACCGTTTTCCATAGTCGATCCATAGTCTTTTCTTAGGATACCGTCATACCTGTGGGGCCTATGTGCATTATTATTCCCTCTCTAATTACTTCTTCCAAATTATATTTTCAACATCAAATCAATTATATAACGAGTATTTATGAGACTCTAGAATAAAAACTGGCTGAGAAAAGACATTTTGCCTAAAATTCCTCGTCACAATAAACAAAAAAGTACGTATTGATAAACTATCACATTACGGTATCCTTCAACTAACTTTTGATTCGACTGTCGAAAAAAAACACTCACCGGTTTTTCTTCAATCTAAGAATCTTTACAGAAATATGCAAATCGTTTGATGATGTAAATATGATAATGACACTATTTATTATTTATTTTGTGAGAATTTATATGTATATATTTCTTTTTGAACAATTTTAGCCCCAAAACTTGTTTTGGGTTATTCTTGATAAATCAAATGGATCGTGACAAAGACTATGTTCTTGAGCTGCTAGTATCGCGATATATCGATATCATGTCTGTCATGGCTTTGTGAAACGGTTTATCCGCTTCATGACATCTCCGTAGGTCGCCGACAAAGATATGACTGTCATGGAGTTGGTTTCGAGAAACGGCCCCCGGATCTTTTAATTCACCACTAACTAAGGCACTAGGCCTATCACAATACTGACACCAGTATCACAATTTATTAGGAGTCTTATTGATGATCATGATGGTTTACAACTTCATAGTTCTGTTTTATCACAAGCGTGCAAGTGAGCAATGGGGCCTCACCGTTTTGTTTGTTTTGGAGAGTACAATAAAAATGAAGTTCCTCTTGTTTTCTCTTGCAATTATAACGGCCAACTTGTATTTGTATTTCTTTGGCATCCAGATCTTATAATAAACGATTCTTGATTTTCCCGGCAATAGCCTACTCTCTAGACTCTAGTCTAGAGACTCTAGTGTGTACTTTAACCGGGTGCCTAATTTATCCATCCAAGGAAATACATTTTGACCACTAGTTTTAACTGGTGTGTTTTAATGCATCTCTGCTAAGCCTGATACATATTTTCTCCAAAATCAAGATTATAGGTTATTTTTTTGGCGATGCCGATGACAATGTTCAATTTTATTTAAAGACACTCAGTAGTTAGCTCTCACGGGGAATTCAACACCGTTCAGGTGTTTACCCAATAACGGGTGTTGTCAATCACCAGGGATAGCCTTGAGTTTTATGACCATTCGACCTTATGTAATGCTTTGCTTTTCCCTCACCCGATCCGAAGCGGGATCCGAAGCTAGACTCTCCGAGAGATAAGGGGGTAATTCTTGACTGGCCAACAGGTTTGCTGTGTGCAGATTTGTACTCCCATTAATGTTTTTCCCACCAAGTCTGGTGTCAGCAAATTATGGCCTTCTGCACATGGAAACTGACGAGGGACTCCCTTTAAACTTTAAAGGAATCACATTTTATGATTTGAGGCGCCCCAATGCGAAATTGCACCAGCTCAGGAAAGATAAAGAATTGATATTTGCTTTATGAAACTGTAGAGTTAAGACTCTTGTTTAAATAGAAAATAATCTACATTCTCATTTGATATACCTATTTTAAATTAATTTTCCTCTTTTCCTAGTGGGTTTTATCAGCTGATTTGTCCCCTAACGAGCAAGCAGATGCAAATGTTATCATCAGTGAGCTCAATGCCTGGACCCTGCAGTCCGAAGAAGTCTACTCCAAGGTAGAGGAGGCCCTCTCTGGTGAAAAGCTGGACGCAATCCTCTGTGTAGCCGGAGGATGGGCTGGAGGCAATGCCAAGTCAAAAGGTTTGTAATTCATTATGCACTAAGTCATTTCACTGTGAAACTTTCCCTTTCCCTCAAAATATTTACATTTTGAGGAAGATACAGCCATCTTACATGGTATTTTTGTGCATACCTTATTCAAAAGAGAGAATAGTGTCATCACATCCAAAGTTACAGCTTACCTTTAACAGTGATATAGGCTTGTGGTGAAGTGCATTAGAGCTCTAGTTTAACTTTAGGTCAATCTAGTCAACACAGAAGCAATCTTGAAAGCAATTTTCAAAGCTCTTTTGAAGCACAAAAGGTTGTTATATCATGTAATATGTGCTATGCAAGTATGAAATGTGATTTTATTATCCAGAAAACCAGGTATTATAAGTGTTCTTCTTGTGGATTTCATCAATATTTGTAAAGAAGACAAATTCTCTAGTTGCATTTATAAGAGAGTTCTTAAATATTTGTAAAGAAGACAAATTCTCTATTTGCTATCTCCCTTAGATGACGACATAGCGATTGATTTTTAAAACTATTTGGAATTAGAAACAAACTTTATTTGGCTTATTTATTATGCTTCTTTCTCCAGTTCAAAAATATTAATGTACTACATGTAGAGGGCAGTAATATCAGGTTTTGAAGAAAATAGACAGATATTTTACAGTAGAATACACTCTGTATAAAACTTGGTTATCTTGAGTACTTTAAAATGGTGAGATATCCCATATTTTAGTGAGAAGTTGATAAAAAAATGAAATCTCGTAGAATTATAGAATTTCCCACAATGCTATCTTCATGAGATGATAACACAGTGAGGACTTAGGAGAATACTGTTTGATAGTTTCAATTCAGCTTTCTTTTCTTTTCTTTTCTAAGATTAATTTCCTTCTTACAATCAACTTCTGGTATGCCTATCGCAACTGAAAAAAGTGACAGGATCAATTATTATATGTGTAGTTTTGAGTATCTTTAAATTTAAAGAAAGTTTTGGGCACGACAAATATGGAACTTTGACAAAAAGCTAATTACCTTTTTTTACATTTCACAGCCTAAAGATTTAGAATAGATGCCAAGAACAGAACATTGGAAACATTTTTAAAAGTCATTGCAGACAAAAACTCAATAATTGCTTAGACTCGTTAGTGGATTAAAAAGAATAATTTGAGTGTAATGATGTTTAAAACAATTCATGTTACTAGATAACATTTCTTTCACTTAATAGAGAAAGAAGGAGAGAAGGGGGAGGGGATAAGTGACCTGTCTCATCAAAATGTAAATTTTTTAATTGCCCTTTAGACCTGGTGAAGAATGCTGACATGATGATTAAACAGAGTTGCTGGACATCGGTCATCTCGGCTGGAATTGCTGCCAGGCACTTGAAGGACGGTGGCCTACTCCAGCTGACTGGTGCATCACCTGCCCTTGGTGGAACTGCAGGTGAGATGTCTTGCAAAACAATCCTTAGATATTGATTTTTTTTTATTTTTTAAAAATCAATATGGGCATTTAATGAGGAATGATCTGATATTCTCTCTGGTGCCAATTGCTTGGCTCTATTTTGTCAAATATATAGAGTTAGGTATAGGCGCTAGCTTGTAATGTATATGCACTCGGGGAAACAAGAAAATGCCCCCCCCCCACCCCTACCAAGTACACATTAATGGCTCATCTACATGTAGGGGCAATAGAACATTTCCTATGGATACAGTATACATACTGCTCCCTTCCTACCCGATATATTCTCATGGATAAATCCTTATTTTTCCTTGTTTGATGCAAATATAAACATTTAAAAAAAAATCATACATGTGTACACTTTTGGTCATAATATTAATCAATGATGTTATATTATGTATCCAGTTCAACTATAAAAGCAACATTTTTATTTATAGGGTGGGGGGGGGGTGGGGGTGGGGAGGGGTTTGGTTATCAATACTGATAGAACACCAAGAACACCAAGAAATCATTGAGTAATTATCACTATTCCTTGAATTATTGATTGTAGGTATGATGGGGTACGGAATGGCCAAGGCTGCTGTCCACCAGCTGACTAAAGGCCTCGGTGCTGATGACAGTGGATTACCAGCCAACGCTACAGCTCTTGCCATCTTACCGTAAGTGATCTTAAAGCCTATTTGCACTAGT